GGAAGATGGCGAGAGCGAGTCCGACGACGAAGACTGGGACGACTGGAGGTTCCGTCCTGCTTGATTTCTATAACTGCATTGCATATAACAGGCTTTGTGGTGGTCAGCGCATGTACTATATTGTAGCATTACACCATTGTGATACCCGGGGAGGCGTTCCCAAGCAGCGATGCGTTCAGTCCAAGCAGGGTTGTCCTTGTCATACAAATACGACATCACATAGAGACAATTATCTATCTTGCTTTTCCAACACTTCGAACGACTTGCAGCCCAAAGCAAACCCCTGACATGTGAGATGGCGGTATCGAGTGCCAAGGCGAGCGTCATTGGTGAGAAACCAAACGCTTCAGGCACGAATGAGACAACCTAACCCCACTCACCCACTTCCACCCTCGACTGACACGTGCCCTCGCGAGTTCCTACTTATATCCAGACAAACGCGTTGGAATACGACTCGGCACTCCCAACACGAACTCCGCACACGGCATCCTACCCCACAATGTCGCGACGGCCCAACCCTGCCGCTGATCGGGCGGAACAGAATCGCGCCACGCTCAAGAACTTGGTGAAACTCGAGGGCAACAAGACATGCTCCGACTGCAAGAGGAACAAGCGTGAGTTATCGAAGATTGATGTATAATGCGCCTTTACTGACAGCTACTGCAGACCCACGATGGGCCAGCTGGAACTTGGGAGTCTTCATCTGCATTCGGTGCTCGGGCATCCACCGTGGTATGGGAACACATATCAGCAAAGTCAAGTCGGTTGACCTCGATACCTGGACCGACGAGCAACTCCAGAGCGTGCTGAAATGGGGCAATGCGCGAGCCAACAAGTACTGGGAGTCGAAGCTGGCGCCTGGCCATGTGCCGTCCGAGGCAAAGATTGAGAACTTTATTCGCACAAAGTACGAGTCGAAGCGATGGGTCATGGAAGGGCCTATGCCTGATCCCTCGACTTTGGAGGCGGACGATGACGATATTGTAAGTGGGCCAGGATAGCTGCATGGGATGGCAACTAATAAAGTATAGCCATTGAAGAAGGTTCAGGAGAAGGTCCAAATAGAACGCTCCGCATCGCAACGCCTAGCTCAGAGCTCCAGCCAGCCTCCCCCTCCCCCGCGACAAGCACAGCCGCCGCCAACCATCGACCTTTTCGGCGACGACCCCGTTCCTCAGCGACCGAGCACCGGACCCCCGATCGCAGCCAGAGGGCCTCCCAAGGCAGAGACAGCCCCACCGAAACAGAACAAGGCAGGCGATTCATTGTTGGGATTGGACTTCCTCGGCGGGTCGTCTTCTGCGGCACCATCTCGTCCATCTAGCACAGGCCCTGCTGCAGCGGCGCCATCGAGACCAGATCTCAAGCAGTCCATCTTATCGCTATACGCTTCCAAGCCTGCCGCACCACCCCAGCCCCAGCAGCATGCACGTCAAGACTCATTCGGCGGACTGGCGTCACCCCAAGGCCAGCAATCGCCCCAACAGTCGGCCTTTGGTGGCATGAACGATGCCTTTAGCAGTTTGTCTTTCAACCCTGCTCCGGCAGCTAAACCCTCACCTTTCTCTGGCCTCGACAGCTTCTCCAGCGCAAAGGCACCGCCTTCAACCTCTTCCTCCAACATGTTTGGTGGTGGCGGCAACTTCTTTGATTCCAAGCCTGCTCCCCAGACCCAATCGCAGAGCCGCACAATGAGTCCGTCGGGCGGTATGGCTGACTTCAGCGCTTTCTCTTCTCCCGCCCCATCCAAGCCTGCAGCTCCTGCAGCAAGCGGCATGAACGACCTTTTGGACCTGTCCATGCCGTCTGCACCGGCGCCTGCACCAAGGGTCACGTCCCCACCGCTCGCATCGCCGCAAGCGAGCTCAGCATTCAACCTGTCTTCACCAGCACCAGCACCCGCTCCTAAAGCTGCGCCCGCTCCTGCGACCGTAAACTACTCAGGATTCTCGAACATGGACGCATGGGGTAGCAACGACGTCTGGGGTTCTTCTGCCCCAAGCCAGCCCGCAGCTCCATCCACAACATCACACGCTCAGCCTACAACCCCCGGCTGGGGCGCACCACAAGTAACCCAAGACGACGACTTCGGTGGTTGGAGCAGTGCCGCACCCACCACCACTACCCAGACGACTACCACAACCCACACCACAACTACTCAAAGTAAGCCTGCAGGAGGATTCGGTGGCGGAAGCGATGATCTCTTCTCGAACGTTTGGGAATAGAAGTGGTGTGTTGGATCGGTGTTTGCATGCTACACGTACTTTAATTCGTATCCTTCGGAGCGTGAAACAAGATGCGGCTCTGGACGGAGTGTAATGTACATAGTATGATGTTTATAGACCGCTGAATCGAAACCGCAATAGACATGCCCCCAAAACGCCAGGTATGCATACGGCCCCTGCCGTTTCCGCCCGTAACAAATCATTCCTGTGACCCTATCCCAGGACTCATATCAGTGTCCCCATCGTGGTCACCTGCGCTCCCAAGCTCATGTCCTCTTCTGCCGTCTTCCCTCGATGTCGCACCGCGACTATCCTGGATCATGTTTCTGTATCAACTCCCATCTTCATGCAATCCAGATTTTCTCAGAAAATCAAATGCCAAATCCAATACAACATCACCACCGCCCCTATTATTATCCCCGCCAACTTCAGAATGGCGACTTTGTTCCCCGATGAAGCCATGCGTGTGAGGCGTGTGGCGGAGCCTTTGAGTGATGTGCCGAAGGAGGAGAAGGTGTCGCTCTACAGAATGAGATGTTAGCGGTCGTGTAGTGGGTGTTGAAAGTCGAGATAGAGGCGGCCCGTTGGTACCATAATAGGGAAGGATGAATGGGTATTTGAGGGACATGTGGAGGTGAAACTCTGTGAAGCATCTTTTCGTTGGGCTGTGCATGGGAGTATAGGTTTCTGGGGGAATAGAAGCGAGGTGAGGGAAGACGTTGCATGCTCGCGCAGGAGATGCGCGGGTAACGTACTGTGCTGTCAATGACATGTTGATCGCGCGCATTATCGTAGATGTCTATCGTTACGCCCCGCAGCGCAGATACCTTTGAGGCGAGTTCATCGAGGCGGGAATTGTTTTGTTGTTCGCGTTCGTAGGCTTGCGACATTGTTGCGGGTTGTTGGAGGCGCCGGCCTGAGTTTCGTGGGCGTTTGGGGTTGGGACGGTTGTCGGTCGAAGTGCGTGCGATCGCGTCAACACAAAGTGTGCTAGGCTTCTTTCTCGGGCTTGCTGAATGCTGAGTGTGTCTTTGAGGCGGTTCCGGGATCGTCTGGCAACCTTCATACGCGACTTGCCATGGGTGACGTTCGGGCGCCAAGGGATCCTGAAGGAATGGGGCTAGCGTCAATGGGCGGGTTCACGCGTGCCCACGCGGGTCTGGGGAAGCTGCGCTCCTCCCATCATGCAACTCCCAACCTTGGAAACGTCTGAATACTTTTTGCTGCCATATTCTTTTGGCTTGCCCGTCATCATGGCCTTGCAAGCACATGGGCCACGCCGATGACCTCCCACTATCTAGCGCATCAATGCATGTGCCTAAATGCAGCAGCAGCAAAGTACTTCCACACCCCTTGCGCAGTACCTACCCATCGCCATCAGAGAACAGCGTACCTAGGTACTGTCATGTAGCACTACATCCGACGACAAAGCACATGGAGATCAACATTCTGGAAGGTACGGCTAAAGCCAGCTTCCGCCTCTGATTCGCGCGTCCCTGCACGCCGCGGTCTTCAAGCATGAGAGATGCACACACGACAACCCAGTAAAGGCTGCGATTCTGCATGGCTTTCAACTCGAAACGCTGCGGGGTCAGTCACTCGCTGCAGTGTTCTGAAAACATGGGCCATGCATCTACTGCGCCGCAAAACGCAGCATTGCTTGCCCGGGGAATAACAACCATTACAGCGACGCCTCTCAGCTACTCGCTGCGGGGTAGGTGTGGTAAGTCGCTCAGCCTATATCTTTTGGAAGGCTTAGATATTTCGACTCCGTGGATGTGTATGCCATAAATAGTATACGGATGCTATCTGCGCCAGCCTTGCTTATCTCCCCACGGGTTCGGTCTCTTCATGGGGGCCATCATGATGGGGCCGAGACATTTCCGCATACCGGCACTGCTTGATCGTATCTGCGAGGTCAAGGCCGCAAGGCTGAGGATGAGAGTGCAGTCTGAGTACATTCGCAGTCTCACCACAACGGCGAGATGCATACACTTCTCGTACTCACTCCTTGGCTTTGGATCTGCCTTCTCTCTACTCCCTTCAGTACTCCAATAACACCCTGCCCACCATCCCTACCACTCACAGTCCTCCCACAATCTACCGGGGAATGTATCGTAGCCTGCATGTCTTATTACCGGGAGACACACACAAAGTACAAAGTAGGTCACGATTACCGTCGCAGATGTACCAGAGCCTAGTCGATGTAAGTCCGAAGGATGCTCTTCCTTACAGTATCGCCGGTTCTGGTATGGTACTGGTGGCGAAGCAGTGTACTGAAGCATTTTCGGTTGCATCCCGCATATTCGGCCCCCGGTTGTGCTACGCCGCAAAGCCTCGTGCCGTTTGACGGTACATAGCCGGAAGTACTGTAGTGGAGTGAGGAGGGTGGTGTATAAGTGAGTGGGTTTGGTCTCGTCTGAAGTGTAGCAATCCTCTGGCTTTTGGCTTTCGTCTTGGGTCGGTCCATACGCAAATTTCTTTCCGACGTTGCCTATCTTCCTTCGGGCACGATGGCATTCTTTCGTACCCTTTTCCTGGCCTATGCCATTGCGTGTGTCCACGCCGCAGTCACACCACTCGACTCTTCAGTACAGGTCCGCCATGCTCCGGGCCACTCTGTGGAAGATACATACCACGCTATCAAGCGAGGCTTAGCTTTAGCTAGCCTAGAGAATCGGGAGGCTTCTTTCAAAGCTGAGCCGATAAGCATAGCAAGAAGTTGGAGCGGTGCCACTTTGTTGTCGGTGTAAGTACACATACAGGGTGCTTCTCATGTCGATGGACGCTGATCATTCCTTCAGGCAAGCCGGAACCAATCAGGCGGGGGACCACCAAAACGGTACCGGGGCGATTGAAGCTGGCATAGAAGTCACCTGTCGAAAGTGCTACGTAAAGGGAGTCGCTACTGCCGAGCTTACGATTGACGGCGACTTCGACGCGGAGACGCTCGTCAACAGCACCGCCGACTCAGTCAAGACAAGTGTTCAGACCCTCACAAGCGACTTCAAAGACTATCTAGTCAAGTCGATAGAAGAGGTCGAACACACTTTCGACATGAGTGATGGGATCGACGCATCTGACTTCGACTTCGACTTCCCCACATTCAATCTTACATTTGACCTTGACGTTCCGCCCATCGAGGATGCTAACTTACACTTCCAATTCGATGACATGGAGCTATACCTGGAGATTGGAACCACTCTGAGCGCCGGTGCGACATATGAAATTACCCTCTTCGCTACACAAACTCCCGTTGGGATGAAGATAGGACAATACCTAATGCTTGGCGCAGTCGTTACTGTTGATCTAATATTGGCTGTAGAAGGTGCTATCGACATCAGTACCGGATTTCACATCAAGCTTGACGATGGCGTTGCTATTGATCTTCCATTGTTTGGAAACGAAGTCGCCGATATGACTGTGTAAGTTCCAGCTTTCACACCTGACCACATCTTCGATGTATTTGCAAAATACTAACTACATTCAGCAACGGCGGTCAATTCGAGTTCCTACCTGTCACTCTCGAAAGCGCAAGCATATCTATGTCGGCAGCTCTTCGTGTTGGTGCTCACTGCGGTCTTGAGGTTATTCCACCAGACCCACCAGCCTTCAACGTCTTCAACATGAACTTTGAACCTCCAGCAGTAGAAGCCGGTATTGAAGTCGCCGTCTTCGCAAACATAGCTGAGTTCAACACCAACATCACCTACGCTGCAGATGACGAAGACTGCAAGCTGAAAGTCCTGCAAGAATACAACTTTGCTGTAGGCGCCATCGCTGGAGCCTCAGTCGCTGTCGAATGGTTCAACGAGACCAAGACATGGGGACCGGTGGCTGAAGCATCTACCGCCATCTTCACGACCACGTTGGTGGAGGTATGTGGTATCCAAGGCAAGCCTACTCCGGCACCCACCATCACACCTGGACCGGAGAGACGTGAGGATCTCACCGAAACGGTGATAAGTACCGAAATCACCAGAAGCGGTGTCAGCTGCAATATTCCTGGGCCTGCCAACTGCCCCAACGCGCAGCAAGTCTCAACTACTACTAAGTTCATGTCCTCCATCACGACGTCAGTAGCACCAGGCGTTGAAGCGACATGGCCTGTCGAAGCATCCGATACCGTCGAAGAGACCATTGCTTTCGGCACGCAAGCAAAGACTATGAGAGCTGTATCCGGTAAACCGACACCATACGTCGCTCCACCTGACGAAGATGGTGATGACAATGTACACAATCTTGTAAATGGCTCGACCGGAGGTGTCAGTAACAAAGTCATCATCGGTGTCTGCGTCGGTCTGGTTTTGCCCATCCTGATTGCTATCATCGGAGCTGTCATGTAAGTCTGACCTTTGACGAAAACTCTTATATCGTCTCAAACACTGACTTATTGCGACGCAGCTTCTTCCGTAGGCGCAAGAGGTATGCTGCCGTGGGCGGACCTGCGGCACCTATGGTCGCTGAGCCTTACACCGGCCATAACGACTATAAGGACCGGATTGAGGAGTCGAAGTCTCCTAACGGTGGTGTTTCGGAGATGCACCGTTGATTTCCTCTCTCTCAGTGCTGTTCACGATTTCCTTTGCGTCCTGTCGAATGATGCGATGAGTCTTTCCTTTTCTCGTTAAGTTCGGGTATTCGGTCGGCGTCTCACTTATCCCTTTATCTTTTGCACAGTCATCATCCGATTTAAAAATCACGGCTATATACCTCAGACTTCAACTCATTCCATCGCTCCCACGACCCCCCAGCGTGAAGCAGCTCGCTGACCCCGCTTGCGGGACCGTGCGGAGATAGCAAGCGGACCGATGACCTTGTCCGGCTTAGCTCGCGACGTCACTACCACCGAAGCTCACCACTGAACCTCCGTGATCTTCATCCTCCACAACTTATCCGGAAGCTTCACCATGGCAAGTGGATCCGTTCTATGCAAAGACAGTTTAAGCCGACGGCCAAGTATCGCCGAGACAGCCACCCCGCACGCTGCATGGCGGGGAAGTACCTCTGTAGGCTAATGTCCTGCGAAAAACGCTCTACGGGCAGCGGTTTATGTACTGCCCAGACGGGCCGACCATTATGTTTCTTCCGTTTATGACGGAGTGTGTGCATGGGACGGAGGGAAATGACCCGTAGTGTGCTCTATCGTATCGTATGGTTTTGCTCGGGTACAAAGTACCGTCTTCGTCGTTCACGCTTATCGCTCATCCTTAGTGACAGCATCGGTGCCATCAACCATCAGATGAGCTAGTTCTAAAGTTGGTATATTTCCCAACATATCTCACCCACCAGGATGACGGGTTCCTTGCGAGCGCTGTACAACTCGTACAGCATCCTACTCCTCGGCTTCTTGTTCTCAATCTGCTTCGACTCCGCAGCCGCTCATGTGGTGTCTAAGCCACGATCTACAACATCAGGCCGTCAACGCACTTCTCTAAACGCAGACTGGCGATTTGAGCGATTCACTTCGGATCCAGATGGCTTGAGCTACGAGGGCTTGAAGCCGTGGATGCTACCTTGCGCGAACGACTTCATCACCGGAGAAAAGTACGAGAGACCATCTGGTGCTGCTCCCGGCGCCAACATCAGCTATGTTCAGTCGAGCTTCGACGATGCCGCATGGGAAGCTGTCTCGCTCCCGCATGACTGGGCTATCTCCGGCACATTCGACGCCCCGGGCGTTGAGGGAGGTCAAGGTCGTTTGCCGATTAATGGAATCGGATGGTACCGCCGCACACTCTCCATGGATGCGCAAGTCCTCCAATCTGGCAAATCCGTCTTTCTGGATGTCGATGGAGCTATGTCGTATGCTGCGGTATGGCTGAACGGTCACCTCGTTGGTGGATGGCCATACGGCTACAACTCTTTCCGTCTGGATCTTACTCCTTACGCCAAAGCTGGCGAGAACACACTCGCTATTCGCCTGGACAACAAGCTTGACTCATCGCGCTGGTACCCGGGCGCTGGTATCTACCGTAATGTTTGGCTTGTCACTGTCGACCCAGTGCATGTTGGACATTGGGGAACCTACGTCACTACTCCTAGCATCTCAGAGGCGGAAGCTACTGTCGAGATGGTCCTTGATCTGGAGAACAAGGGTAACAGCAGTCAGCATGTTGAAGTTGTCACCGAAGTCTTCGAGCGCGACGCGACGACAAAACAAGCTACTGGTGAAGCTGTCGCGAAATTCTCTGCTGCGAACGCGGACGTTGCAGGCCATTCTAAGCAAGCAGTACACGGCTCAGTTACAGTTCCGAACCCAAAGCTTTGGGGACCACCACCTAGCCAAAAGCCCAATGAGTACGTCGCTATCTCTACCGTCTCAGTCGGCGGAGAGGCTATGGACACCTATGAAACTGTATTCGGTATTCGCTCGGTCACTTACGATCCAAACCAAGGTATCCTTATCAACGGTGAGCGTATCTACGTCCAGGGATCTTGCAACCACCATGATCTGGGCGCTCTTGGAGCAGCTTTCAACACCAGGGCTGCGGAACGACAGATCGAAATATTGCAAGAGATGGGCAATAACGCTCTTCGCACGTCTCACAACCCGCCTGCCCCCGAGTTCCTTGATCTCGCCGATCGATACGGTCTCATGGTTATGGATGAGATCTTCGATACCTGGAACTTTCCCAAAGTGGAGAACGACTTCCATCGCATCTTCCAAGAATGGCATGAGCCTGACCTCCGATCGTTCATGCGCCGTGATCGCAACCACCCCTCTATCATCTCATGGAGTGTTGGCAACGAGCTTCCTGAACAAAGGAACTCTACTGGTACCGAAACTTGCAGGACACTTCAAGACATAGCCCACGAAGAAGACCCTACCCGCCAAGTGACCATCGGTATGAACAACGCCAACGCCACTACTGGAATAGCAGCCGTTATTGACATCATCGGTTTGAACTACCAAGGTGAAGGCAAAGGAGACTCTTGGGTGAGCACCTTCCCCAGCTTCAAACAAGAATTCCCCGAGAAGATGATCTGGAGCACCGAATCTGCATCAGCACTCAGCACTCGCGGCAAATACCTCTTCCCTATCACGGCAAACAAGAGTGCCATCGTAGGCGGCGGACCAGGGGAAGGCGGTGACCCAGAGAACAACATTGTGTCTTCATACGATCTCTACGCACCTGAATGGGCAGCTTCAACCGATAAAGTGTTCGAACAGCAAGACAGGCATCCATACGTCGCTGGTGAATTCGTCTGGACTGGATTTGACTACATCGGTGAACCCACCCCATATGACAACTCAAGCCGCAGTTCCTACTTCGGTATCATCGACCTGGCTGGTTTCAAGAAAGATCGCTTTTACCTCTACCAAGCACGCTGGAGACCAGATCTACCCATGGCCCACATCCTCCCCCATTGGACGTGGCCCGAAGATCGTATCGGCGAGGTCACACCCGTACATGTCCACACTTCTGGTGACGAGGCAGAACTCTTCGTCAACGGTGTCTCCGCAGGCCGTCAATCAAGGGGAAAGTACGACTACAGACTCCGCTGGGATGGCGTAAAGTACCGTCCCGGCAACATCAGCGTCGTCGCATACAAGGACGGCGAAGAATGGGCCACGGCATCTCAGTTCACAGCAGGTTCTGCTGCGTCGCTGAACGTGACTGCTGATCGCACGACAATCACTGGTGACGGTTACGACCTCTCATTCATCACTGTCTCCGTGCATGACGAGAACGGTATCTTGGTTCCAATGGCGGATGATGAGATTAGCTTTGAGGTCTCGTCTGGCTCAGGTGTTGTCGTTGCTACGGATAACGGTGATCCGACAGACATGAGCCCATTCCCGGAGTCGAAGAGGAAGGCGTTTGGTGGAATGGCGCTGGCTATTGTGAGGAGTGAGGCCGGTGCTAGTGGAGATATTGTTGTTGAAGCGAAGGCGGAGGGCTTGAGTGGTGGGAAAGTTGTTCTTACTGCTAGTTAGGTAGTGATGTGTGATGCATGAGAATAGTTAATCTGAATGAACTCACATGATATTCGTTAGCATCATCAGTGTATCTTAAGCTTGAGTGCTGGACATGTTGACTATCGCTTGCCCTGGCAAGTCTACGCCGAATTGAATGTGTCCATGAGACGACGTCTTTAAGCCAACAGTGAATGTTGATAAGTTTTCAGCGCATCGGGGGTTGCGATCTGATGCTCTAGCGAGTCTGAGTCGTAGACGCGACTTCAGAACGCAGTGCATGTCGACTATGTCGTCGCAAATCGAGATGCAGATAATGGCTTCTACTTCCAACACTAATTTCCATCCCATCTTTGTCGAGATAGAGAGAATTTTCTCGTTGCCATAGGAAAGTCGCGGGTCGGCGCCCGCAACCCACACATATAATATTTTGATCCCACCCGACTTCTGCCTCCTCACCACATCCACACATTCGAGTAAGCCCCCTACCTTTTGCACCTTCTCTCATATCCAGACACTCACATCGCCACAGACTAGTCACAATGCAAATTGCCACTACCCAGAAAGTCGTGAATGCGCTCTCTCCTGCCCGCCGCGTCCCCGACGTGCGCCGCGCCGCAGTCAACACTAATGTCACTGCCAACCCGGTCAGGCCGCTGTACCAGCGGCTCCATCGACCAACTTCTTCAAGGACAAGGCTAGCTGCTACTCCGGTGGCGGCGAAGCAAATTAAGCCAACACCTCGCGTGTTGGCGTCAAGGACAACTACCACCGCTTCGGCGCCAAGGGTACCCAAGATACTTGCTAGAGCTCGAGCTGACTATAAGCAGAATGCGGATAGCAAGATTGTTAAGACGCGTATCCCGAGGCCTACGATTACGGCGGTGAAAGAGGCTAGTGTACGGAGGCAGTCGAGGCTTTGGGCGAGGATGACGAGTGTGGTTATTCGGCGTAAGATTACGGTACTCGCTGCCGAGACCACTACGGAGGCGGATATTGACGAGGAAGAGTTATATGAGGAGGTCAAGAAGCCTACGATGGAGTTTGAAGAGCCGGCGTCGGAGATCGATGAGCCCGCGGACGACGACATGGACAACACTTCGCTCATGTTCAACGACAACAGCTTCGATGACTCCGTCAGCCCTGAGCAGCAGACTTCTGCCATGAACCTCTTCGGACGGAAGATGGTCAGTATGAAGCGGCTCGGTATGGGGCTGCGCACAAATCGGGATTGGTTCGTTGGGCTGTCTCGATGCCCTGACTACACCGGTGATTCGGTTGGTTTGGAGCGCGTGCGATCAAGGACTACGGTGACGACTGAGTCTCATCTGACACAGGACGCCAGTGAAGGAGGTCAGTTCATCAAGTTCGATTTATTTTCACAACTAACGTCTTTCAGTTTTAGCTTTTGTCGAAAGGCCACATTCGGCGAAGGCTCCAGCTTCACGGCTGCCTGTTGTCAAGCCAAAATCTGTTGTTGTCTCCCAGAAGACTACGAAACGACAGATGACTACTTCGGAGACAACGTCAGCATCATCATCGAATCGCGACGCCACGGCGTCAAAGCCACGCAAGCCGGTCGCTCCGGTGGCAGCTCTGCGCAAGACTCCGAACAAGCCAACCACTGTTGCCAAGTCGCTCCCGAAGCGGAACTTGGCTCCAATTTCGTTGTCAAAGCGTAGAGTCAGCCGTACGAACACGAAGAGGTCCGCAAGGAAGCCAGATGCGCAGGCATCACGCAAGGCTAAGACTGTACTGAAGTCGGCCATGCGCAAGCCCAACTCCCAGGTCGTCAAGAAGCACGTTTGCTACGTTGAGGGACCCATCGCGCCACGCTTCTACGACGTAGAAGAGACCGTCAAGCAGTCCGCTACTGCAGTTGATGGGTCCACAGCGTCCTTTTCCTGGGAGCCACTGACGGGCCTTCTCCACTCTCAGCCACCCTCGCCAGGCAGAGGTGCAACTCAACTCTTTGAAGGCTCCGACAGTGGCGCTCTGACCATCAAGCGACGCTTCCTCAACCGCTACGCCAGCGTCCAGCGGTACGCGGCGCGCCGCCGCCAAGAAGCGTTGGCTCGCAGCGAGCGAGCAGCGCTGGGTCAGCTTGACTACGGCAACGCAGACTTCAGGATCGCCTTGCAGGCCTCCAATGTCATCACCGCGGATGACATTGGCATGATGCAGGATCTGAGCAACATCGGCAAGGCTGGCAAGTTGTGGTGCGGTAATCGGGCTTCGGCAACACCGGTGCTGGTTTTCGGGTCGTTCAAGGAGCCGTTCGACAACGCGGCTATCCCGGCGAAGGGTGTCAAGGCGTACAAGAAGCCTTTGCGATGGCCGATCACTGGGGTTGAGGCACGGTTAGAGAAGTTTGCGGACGAGCACCTGAAGTCTCTTCAGGGTGCCGATTTGGTGATCTGAGGGACGGGTCTATTGGAGGTAAGACTTCTAAAGCGGTCCTACGTTCTTCGCTAACGACGACTATCAAGGCTTTGGTTACGGACGAGAGAGGAGCGCTGTTCAAGAGATGGATGAGATGATGGGAAGATTGATGGAGGTCCGGTAAGTTAAGTGGGTTTTCGCTGACGACCACTAGCACGTAACAAAGCCGGGGCGTCCTTTTCGACAGGGCGGGGCGAGTGGTGGGACCCCGCATTCATCGCGAACGCTTTTACGACTTGGAAACCGATGCAGTGGGACGCGAGCGTCTTGGAGGAGGTGTGGCAGGCTCGCACAGGTGTGATAACGGTTTTGTTGGCTTTGATGTTGGAGGATTGCGTTTGGGCGATTTTCACATTTTGTATACCGTTCTTGTTTGCTTACTACTCATTCTTCTTTTCGTCGTAGCGCAATGTACTATACATGTTCATCTTCCTCTACGTACGAACCTGTTCTGAAGTCCGGGGCTTCCAGGATCCAGGTCTTGGGGATTTCGGAGTTGGCATGCCACATCTGGCCCGTTACCGGTATCATCATCACCGTCATCGGTCCGCCCGTTTTCTCGTTAGTATGAACTCGACTATGGATAGCTCGGCTCCCAGGGAACTGTAGTCGCTTCTCTAAGCGCCCATTCAGTTGGTTATTCTACTTCCCAAGCCCACGTGTTGACGGCAATGTCATCGATTTCATGCAGAAGGCAACGCCGAGTTCCAGGCCTTCGCGCAACGTTCCTGCGTCCTGTAAGCCCACGTCGCACGTGTGTTGCTCATTGGTGAATTGTTATCAGGCACAGCAAGGCGCCAAACCTCAAGAGGCAGTTGCCGAGAATTAAGCACGGCCACCGCCAAGGTCGCCAAGGCTGGAATGCCGTGACTGCAGCTACTGAGGCGGCGGCGTCCGCTTTGTTTGCGTGGTACAAATAGTGACAGGCTGCCAAAGAGGTGGCTTGCTGTTGTGCTCGCGCCTCTTCTCACCAACTCCACCAAGCCCAGTCGGAGTGAGGATGAAGTTCGCCACTGGATCTAGCGTGTCACTTATCGCCGTCTCGGCGCTGACGGCGATCGGTCAAGCAGAAGATGCGCTGTATAGCAAACGTATGGTGAAGCGCGGTATTAATGCGGATGGAAACTACAACATCTGTAAGTCAGCATGTGTTGACTCCAACATTGCTTCTGCTCACGTGATTCAGCATTCTTCCACATCAACGACGTGCATGCCCACCTTGATGAGTTCAGCTCCTCAGGAACCGACTGCACCAGGCCCGAGCGCGGCTGCTATGGTGGTTACGCGCGTGTGAAGACCGTCATCGAGGAGCAACGCCCCAACTACGAGGACAGTCTTTTCTTGAACGCCGGTGATGAGTTCCAGGGCACTCTGTTCTACGGCTACTACGGCGGCGAGAAGATTGCGGAGACTCTGAACCAGCTCGGATTTGATGCCATGACTCTCGGCAACCACGAGTTTGATGGCGGTGATGCGGCGCTCGGAGAGTTCTTGGTCAACCTGACGTTCCCCATTGTCAGCGCGAACGTGCATTCCGAGGACGAGAACGTCAACAAGACTGTCAAGCCATACACCATCTTCGAGGAGCACGGCTTGGCGCTGATCGGTGTCACTGCAGAGGAGACTGGCAGTCTCAGCAACGCCGATGTTACCACCGTCTTCTCCAACACCGTTGAGGCCGTTCAAGGTGCTATCGATGAGATCAAGGCCACTACCAACATCACCAGGATTGCTGCTCTCACTCACATTGGCTACGACAAGGACCAGGAGCTGGCCAAGGCTACCACTGGTCTCCAGCTCATCATGGGTGGCCATAGCCACACCCTTCTCGGTGACATGGAAGACGCCGAGGGCAAATATCCAACTATTGTTGAGAACCAAGATGGCGACGAGGTCTTCATTGTTACTGCCTACCGCTGGGGCGAGTACCTCGGCTACATCGATGTCACATACGATCCTCAGGGCAAGATTCTCGCTTATCATGGCGCCCCGATTCACCTCACCAACACTACTGAACAGGATGAGGACCTTCAAGAGCAGATTGAGGAGTGGCGCATTCCCTTCGAGGAGTTCGCTGCTGAGGTGCTTGGTACCAGCGAAGTAGAGCTCGACCAGACGACCTGCCAACAACAAGAGTGTCTGCTCGGTGACTTCATGGCTGATGCTATGCTCGCCTACCGCAAGAACAACACCGATGACGTCGACTTTGCTCTCATTAACGCTGGTGGTATCCGTGCCACCATTGATCAGGGTGACATCACCCGCGGCGAAGTCTTGACCTCGTTCCCCTTTGGTAATGCTATTGTTCAGGTCGAAATCGATGGCAAGACCCTCTGGGAGTCTTTAGAGGGTATCGTGACCGGTGTCAACGTCGGCAATGGCAGGGAAGTCACCTCCTTCTTCCAGGTCAGCACTGGCATCAAGGTCGAATACAACCCCGAGAACGCCAACAACTCCAAGCTTGTCTCTGTCACCATCGGCGACGAGCCTCTCAATAACGACACTACCTACCAGATGGTCACTCTTGACTTCATCGCTGGTGGCGGTGACAACTTCTTCGAGCCATCAACCGACTTCATCACCCTGGACACTCAGGATGAGGTACTCACTTCGTACATCTTGAGCCAGACACCAGTAAACATCGAGCTCGATGGACGTATCGAGGAGGTCGACGGCCAGAGGGAGGACACTCCCGGAGCTGGTAACGGTACCAGCAACGGCACTTCACCCACGACGGGTGCACCGCCTCAGCAGACTGAGAACGCAGCTGCACGTCTTGGTCAAGGCGCCGTTGGTGTCAGCGTCTTTGGTGTTCTCGCCGGACTGTTCATGCTATGAGCTTGAAGCGATCCAGAGGCACGGGGTGCATGATTCGATGTGAATGATATAATAAAACCATTAATGAAATATTTACCGTCATCAGATGCCCCGCGTTTTCACTCTTGTCAAATCGTCTTCCATCTTTCGTCAACTATTCGTTACCAGTAATGCAAGACAGCGAGCCACATGCGCCCGTACAGTACAAACCTCCGATGCGAGCGCACCAGAAAGTATAGTCTCGCTCCAGTCAGATCAACATGGAAGTGAATGACAGGGTCAGTAGGTCGTGTGCAAAGCACCTTCTGGCTACAATAACTTTTGGTTGCTTTACCTAATCACGTTCGCTCAACAGAAACGCCTATCCAACTCAACTCCGAACGTTGCACTATATTCATCAAGGTATGCCTAAACGCGACAAGAAAAGCGAACCCAGAGTTGTCGTGGGGCGTTTGAGAGGAGTGAATGACATAAGAATCGGCACACCGGCACACCCGCCTTCCTTCCTGCCACCTAATACCACTCCAGTCGCGAAACGCGAACCTAGCATCACTGAATACACATTTGAGCAATATCAAGCTGCCAATCTCAACGATGACGAGAAGCACGCCGTCATCGGCAAACTCCGCGATGAGCTGCCCATCATTGATCGCGATGAGGCTGACGATGTACTTCTTCGGTCTATGGGACAGCAGCTTGAATTAGCGGTCTTCCCGACATGCATGATGATGCAGGTTGAGCCTGTAGCTGTGAAGCGCATGCTGGATGACCAGTTCCGCAAGGCGTACGGAGCGGAGGTTGAGGCGGAGATGTTGGGTAAGTTGGGACTGTGCCGTGTTGAAGATGTCGAGATGGCGGTGGCTGCGGAAAGGATGCGTATCCGCACTAAGAAGAAGGGTAAGAGGCAGAAATTGGGGGAGAGTCAGGAGATGTTGGCGGATGTTAAGGAAGACTCCGCCGTTCATGCACTATCTCCGCCGAACAAAGAGGTGAAAACGGCGCCAAAAAGCATTGAGGATGAGATCAAGGCCCATATTACACGAAGGAAGAGAGCGAAGCGTCGGGTCAGGATGGTGACCCTGCGCGCGGGAGCTGTGACGCAGAAATGGGAAGAGTTGAGTCGTAGTTCGTCAACTAGTGTGCATGATCAGCAGCACATGCCGCTACTGCCATAGAAGGCTGCTTAGGAACATATTGTAATGCTAGACGCCGGCAAGCGTACTAATCGCCCAATGCCGTAGTCTGTGATGCTACCTAGGTAAAGAGCCGTAGTGAGTGTCAAGTGGCGGACTTGAGAGGTAGGAGTCAGGCCTCATCATGGAGAATTTACGCGTAACTGGATCCAATAGTTCAAAGATGAGTCTCTGTTTGACCACGCAGCTTCGCGCGAACGCGAGTCCTTCGAAAAGCCGAGCTAGACGCGTGACGTCATGGAGTGCTTAGTCATCCTCGACCGCGGCGGGGGACGCGTTCTCGGCGCCTCCAGGGCTGTTTCCTCAACATCACTGCATCAGCCCAACAACTTGCTAGCTACCGTACTCGCGATTACGGCATTCCGATGCTTCATCATGACTACGAAAGATCGTGTTGTGAAAAACGGATGCTACCCCGATCAACGTCTGCACCTCACGCAAGGAAAAGAATTTAAACACGCCTGCGGCCTACATTAAGACAAAAACATGCATGATAGGTAACCTAACGTTAATGCAGGCTTCAGGATGTCGAGATTTCCCCTCATCCAGGTGGAGGCGTCATATCCTCATTGCGATGCATCCAAGACTTTCGACTGGCCATGCTCTACCGGATAGCTTGCTAGACATGTCACGTCTCATAATGTATGTCGATTGTCACACAATGATTTTCGGCGGCAATGAGCTCGTGAGCAATAGCGCAAATCCAGACTCTACGGTCTGTAATGTAACGCGTGGTCATGAGGCTCGGGCAAGCAAACCTCGAGTTCCTCTCGCAATAACTATAAGTACTGCTCAGAACGCCCTCTGAACCCACACCATAACAGTTCATTCGCATTCATTCCTGATAACCTCAGAAACAGAATGGTAGATCCTTCAGATGAAAAAACCGTTCCCAACATCGAACCCGTTCCCTGGATCGTCCAACCCCCAAGCAAGACCGCTATCTGTCACGTCGACTACCCCTTGGGAGATACAGCGGAGCTCTATGTCGTCCCGATCACTGTCAGCAGACAGAACAAGACCGAACAGTCAAACCCCATCATAAGCCAGAAACTGCGACGCAAGGCCATTACTGAGTACCTCACGCTGCATAACCTCCACGACCGCTGTGCACTTCAACTGTGGGCCCTAAAGAACGTCGACACACAAGGAAACACCGATGGGGTAGTCTGGCCTATCGACGAGCTCGTATTTTTCGCATCCGACCAAGTTCGTGTGGAAAGTCTCCCGGACGAGGCGAAGCAAGGCACTATCCTGAAGAACACACTCGCGACAATCAAGGCATCCGATGGTACATCACGAAAAGAGGCTATCCATTGCGAACTCGACTTTGCCCAGGGGAAGAAACTATCAGCAGAAGGCACCGACTGCACAGAATACTGGAGAAAGATAGAGCTCCTCGTGCGCAAGTTTGGCCCCACCATGTCTACCAAGGCTGTGACATCTGTCAAGTCGGGAGCTCTACTTCAAGAGACCATCGAGAAAGAAAACCAGAAGGAAGATACCCATGTCCGATTCCGAAACTACCAGACCACCGTCAACGGAGCTGAACACCTTAAGGTCTTATTTCGCACAACATTGAAGCTCGATCCTGACCATCGAAAGCTTCACGCCGAGGTCGATCTTGTTCCTGGTATCAACGGTGGCGTGGGTCTTTCTGATCTGATCGCCAGCACCTTTGGGTCTGGCCCACTGGATATGAGCGACGCTCGACTCTCGCGAAACGTTAAAGCGATGCTGGTCGGTCTTGCAGTTGCCCGCATATACGAACCGTCACCTCAGCCCGCTCTCGAGCCATCGGTATCAGCAACTGGTTTATTACACGGTATCGGAAATATGGCAAACAGTCCCCGTAGTAACAGCGGGCGTACTCCTTTGGGGTTATTGTCGACATCCCAAGAGAACTCACGTGCAAATAAAGTCGGGTCGGGAAGCAGCAGCACCGCTGTAACCTCTACTTCAAGCTTCCCAGAATCCGTGATCTTGAACCTAAAGCCGGCGTCTCAAGTTCCGGCCTTCTGGAAAGACGACGAGAAACAGACAGTCGTACAGTATCTCTTAAAGAGTAAGTGGCGCGACTGTGATCGAGACAAGGCCCCGACTGATTCATCATTATAGCATATCCTGACCTGAAGGAAACAAAGCTCCTCGGACTGCCGCTAGCAAACATCGGAAAGGATACCTGGGTGCCGCTCGAATTCCTCAAAACAGCCGGACAGGCAGCTTCGATACAGCAGGTTCCATCTTCAGGCCACTTGACGGCTTCGCTCCAGGACCTAGGAGCGAATTATGACTTGGCTGGAAATGGGAAGCGGTTGCTCGACTTCCTCAACGGTGAAATGAGGGACATGCGCAAGCGCCACGAGGCAAGTCGATATTTGCGTGTTGTCACTGTAAACAAGTCAAGTGCTAACATATTTGCAGGGTATGGAGCTAATCGTATCCAAGAACAGTACAGAGGCTGAGACGCTCAAGCTCTCCTCGAACGACACAGAACGCATGGGTCGCACCTCTCTGGAGGGAGCTGGAGTCGGCGCCACGATTAGGTGCGGTATTATCTACGTTAGACCCAGTGCTATGCGCTCCACAGACTTTGACAGCTTCGCGAAATCGCTTGTCACGCGACTGGAAAGCCACGCAAGACTAGACCGAGACCAGCGCATCCTCGATATTGAGTCACTGGACACGAGCCCTATCGCTTCAATTCCCGACATCAAACCACTTCTTCTGCTGCCTGGGGACACTACCGAGGAAGTCAAAGCGTTCTACGACAGCAAAGTTGACACAATCATCGCCGTGGTAGATGAGCGGGGTCGGAGTAAGCAAGAGATCCAGTACGTCCGGGCAGAGCTACAAAAGTTCGGCAACAGGAAGCTTGGCGCAGTCGTACTCTGTGTCAGTAGAAAGGACCTGGAGCCCCGAACCAACAAGACAACCGGACTCCTTACTCATCTTCCCACAGGTATTCTCCAACAGCTGAACGCCCTGCATGGCAACCTCAATTTCGCCGCCAAAAACCCGCCTAGTTTAGACCCGGTCAACAAGCAACTGATGATTATAGGAGCTCACATTTCACACGCTGGATCCGGTGCGGCCGCTAGCTGCCCCTCGGTTGCGGCTCTTGTTGGTAGTGTTGACGAAGCACTGATGCGCTACACCGGTAGTGCGCGACTACAGGCTACATTGAAAGCTACTTTCTGGAAACCAAACTGGAAGCCCTCCAAATTGAAGCACGAAGTCGAATCACGGATTGTCGACCTTGAGAGCATGATGCTCGAACGTATCGAGGCTTGGATCGCGAAGCAGGGACGCACGCACGCGCCACACATCGTCTTTTACCGCCATGGCCTACAGTCCAACCACGAAAACACCGTGATGGAGGAAACCGCTGCAATCAGTCGTGCCTGCAAGGGTTCCACTTGGGAAGATGGTAACGCTGCCACCTTCGACTATGTACTGGTCAACAAGAACGCGCACGTTTTCTCGCCCTACCGTAACGTTTCCAGCGAAGAATCCTCCAAGGAGGCTGCGTATGAGTTCAACATCGCCGACAGTGCCGGACAAGTTGGACACAAGTACCAGTACTATGTCCGGGATCCACCCAGCAACATGCTCACTGGCGATCAATTCAAGACCCTCACACGCCATCTAAACTCGAGCTTTCAGCAGAAGTATGCCAAGATTGCTATCGCACTTCCGGTCCATTACGCCCAGAAGCTCGCTAAGCGAATGTACGACTACTTCCTTTTCGCTACTACAAACCGGTACGACCAGCTTTCGAGCGTCCAGCGACGATTGAAATTCTCCGACGAAAAGACATTCCAAAGCGATCAACAGATGGCGGATATGATGAACGAGTATCTGCTTGGTTACGGCGTAGTGAAAGCGCGCGAAGAACCACAGCCAGATCGAAAGAACCCTTGGATGCCACAGCTTGACGACAAGATGTTCTACCTCTAGCTGTCTGGCTAATCTTCACAGCTAGTAGCCAGGGCAGCTTTATTTACCTCCTTCCTGGCTCTCCTTCTTTTCGCCACCATATTTTTCGACTCTTCGTCACCTTCAGACCCCCCTTATTTCCTATGTTCGCGCATTCACCGCCTCACTCGCTCCCCCTGCACCTGTCCCGTCCTGCCCACCTCTCCTTTCATTTCCTTTGTTCCTTGTCATTTGCGATCTCTTACCGCCCCACCCCCCTTTCCCTGCCCACACCATGCCCGTTTTCCTTTGACCATCTCGATCCCTGTCTTGCGTTCTGATTTCCGCGCTGCTTTCACTTTGGATCTCCCACGAGGTCTCTAGTTAGTCACTCATTTAGAAAGAATACCAGTCACTCCTTTGAAAGCACGTTTGTCTTGCCATGATCTGAGTTATTGAGAGCCCCGCAAAAGCCGACGTTGGCACTTGCACCTTATACAAGGGAAAGATTGAACAGGTTTGCAGACTACATCAAGACAAGTACATGCAAAGTGGGTGTGTTAACATCGATGTAGACCCCAGGGTGTTCACATTTCCCCTAGTTTGACGTGCGTGTGAGAGCTTTTGTGCGCCAGAATATGGCGTCATCATGCATGATATTGTCATGAACTAATCTAAGACCATGTCGAATGTCAAGGAAGTGGAGACGGTCCGTGCGCAGTACTTCGGTCTTTGCGACGGCGCTGAAAGTTGATGTCAGTTGACAATTGAGTTGACTTGATGATCTCAAATAACAACGAAAGAAGCTTATGCAAGTACAATCTCCTTCCACTTCATCGGCCTGCGACACGATTTGAACACGCCTTCTCGCTGGAGATAGCCAGATCCAATCCTCTCGGCGACATCCCCGTTCCACTCAATCATGAGGACTCTGTACCTCGGAGAAGGAACGTAAGAAGCACTCTCCCGCCGTTCAAAGCTCAAATCCCCCTCTTCGGAGATAATGATGAACTCGCGACATGATAGACCCGCCTCCACTTCCTCTGAGTTAACCCCAGCATCGTATTCGCACTTTCCGACAATATTGCCCTCCGAATCTATCATGTTGCCGTCCCCGCCCCCCACGACAGGCTGTTCACGCGGTGGATGATCCCGAACCTCGTAATAAACCGATACTTTCCAGAATTGTAGTACCAATGGAAACCCCGCAGTGCCGTCTGAGCGCTCGTAGCATAGCTTAGTTGGTAGGGAGTTGCGTGGGAGTCCTGGAAATCTCGCCTCGTGGGCTTCTCTGGCCAGATCGACATCCTTGCCATACTCATCGCCGCCATGTAGCCATCGGGGTTGGGCGTCAGCACTCGCGTTGTCGCAGACATAATATACTCTCCACGTCGCATGCTTGAGGCAAAGTTGAATAAGTTCCATCTCCGATGCCTTATGCACCCATTCTCGATGCCCGTCATTCGGATATCGCTTTGCGTCACCATACATATGTAGATAGTCAATCTCTTCGCTGCAATATAACTGAAGACCACTCCAGCCTGCCCAGGTCCAACTTGGGAAGCACTTGCGTCGCTCTAAGGTGCCGCCCTTCCAGAATAAGGCGTGATTGAAGTAAGCAAGCGGTAGGCCCTCATAACAGCTTCCAACACCAATTCGTTTCACCACACCAGCGAAGGCATTCAGTATGTCCTCTTCTTTGGTGATCTTGAGTTTTGAGTACCTTGCCAGTGCCCACCGGTAATTTGTATGGGGAAGATGCCCATGTAGACGTCGCTTGAGAGAGAATGTAAACTCACTCTTGTTGTTAGAGACCATAATTCTATCTGATGAATTGGGAACGCAATCATCGGGGCCATCTTCAGTATAACTAGCTTCATCGCATAAGAAGTATACCTGATCGTTTGGGGCAAAGACGAGCAACCTAGATGCCAGCTGGAATTCCTGGAAGCTAATATGCGTGAGTGAGTGTTCTTCGGGAATTGCCGTGATGCTTTACATACGTCCACGCCCTCTCGCAATACTTAGTCTCTCTAAATAAGTGCTCGATATCAAAATGTGCCAGGAGGGTCACCTCCGACGATATCGCGCGAGTGATTTGCTTGCAGTAGCGTTCTGTACTTACACCGCGAAGCGGATCGTCTGCGCTACTGCAAGTCCCCGCAACGACAGTAAGAAGCGACCCTGCGTAGATGTTGTCCATGTTGGAAATGGCAGCCTGCCTCGCAGCAGCGTCGTCGGAAACGATGCACAGAGCATCCACCCACAAATATCTCTCGCCAATCTTCTCTACTAAGATCATAGCATCGCGTATAGTTTTGGGAACGGTGGGAGAGGAAAGACTAGACTCGCGGGAGAGGTCCAGGAGGTTGTCCTTTTTTAGCTGCACCTGAGTGGCATTTCCCCACACATAACTCAGGGCTATATATCGGCAATTCTTCGGGGCAGGGACGATGCGTTGGTCTACGACGTCGATGACAAGAACGTTCTCGACGGATATGTCGCTTTCCAATTTTGATCTCTCTCGGCAATGCGAGTGTTCGCTCTCGCAACGGGTGATCCAATGTTGGATGTGCTCAAAATCCAGAAACGATGGACCCTGCGGAAGGATGCGACTGAAGTAAGGGTACCTTAGAAGATCTTTAGTGGCTGGTCGGATCCCCGCTCCCCATTCATAGATTCTGTCCAGACCATGGATTTCCAGTGCGATGCAAGGTTGAAATTTGGATTTCGTATTCCCCGCTATAGGCGTACGAGAATTGACCAGGCAGGTTCGTGCACACCGATCGTCGACAACAGAGGGTATCTTGTAGGCAATAGTCGCTTCGATCAACTCTGCGATGAGCTGACATAGGTCGCATTCCGATGGCCTTATGTATACATTGCATTTGTGCGACCACGGCGGCTCCTCGAGATCCGCTGGAGGAAGGAACTTTGCGGGGTTTATATTGAGTTTAACGCACTCGTCGCAAAACCTTATGATGATATATAGAGTAAAAGGATGTAGAAGGAACGATGGTGATGCCTCTGAACAGCAATGAGGGGCAATTTCGACCCCACCAAATTGCGGGCATGAGGCACAGCAAGACACCTACATCAGCTCTAACTCTATCCATACATGATGAACAGGCCATGCGTAGCCGCCCGAGGCGGCTATGGAAGCTAAGACCAAGAAACGACAATAACGTCTGAAAGTGGTTCAGCTGCTGAAGGGGAAGGCATCGCGAACGCTGACGAAGGCATCCTGGGTCTACGATGACATGAAGAGAACCGGTAGTGAGATGTTGCCAGGCGACACGAAACAACTAGAGGTAAGGGTCGATGGAGGGTGCATTGTTGAATGGTGTGAAGATTTGTCGCGCATGAGGAAAGCGCGAAGGCCACAGTGAGGCTGCGGCGGATGCTGCTAAGCCTCGCGCCATGACATCACCGACCCCTTTCACTCGTGCCACGAATCCATCGAGAAAGTACGCGCATGGCATTTGTTAGGCACACGCGAGTTGGGTATATCATGATAAGTAAATGGGAGACATGAGGAGCATATGCATTTGCAGTCAAACATTGCGGATCCAATTGCTGCGCTACAGTATTTAACTCCACGTGACTTCTAGAGACCATGCCCACCATCGACGAATCAACAACAAAAGTCTAGCCAAAGCGTTATCAATCTGAAAGCAACCGAACTCCAAATAGTACGTTCTCATCTTCATAGAACCCCGACAATACGCTCCCATTTCGCTCAGCTCAATGTCCCCTGGCGACTCCTCTCCACGCCTGCCGGCGCCGTGCCAATTTGGCTCACGAGCTCCGCTTCATCGGCCCGATTCAATTTTGAATCAAGCGCATCATCCAGACCAGTGTTCCTCTTGCGCATCGGACTAGTCGCATCTGCCGCACTATCATCAACATCGAGTTCCTTTTCCTTGCGCCTGATCGTACCCATGCTTGCTACACTTGCATCGTCGCCATCGGACTTCTTCTTGGTCTCGCCCTCACTGTTTTGCACTTCGATGGTGACGTCGGTGTTGTCTTTGCTGAAGACGCGGAGACCGACGACGCACACAGCGTTCCAGGGGTCGCGCTCGAATTCATCTTCCTCTTCGACGTAGGGGTAGCGCGTGTTGTTGTAGCAGATATAGCGCTGGCGTTCAGAGAACATGCGCGGAATGTTGTCTTCATCGTCGGAGAGATCTGAGTCGAGCGAGCAGGGGCCATCGAGATCGGAATCCCAGGAGTCGTCGGACATGTCGTCGGGCGAGTGCATTCCGTGCTGAGCGCGGTGGGAGTACTCGCTAGCACTTCGTCCGCGAGTGACCTGAATACCAGGTCGGATACCCGGGATGGGGGTGAGTGTAGCCCGGCGAACGCCAGTTGATGGTCGGTGCTCAGGACGCGGACTGTATGCCCTTTGACCGGGCGTTCCAGGGCGAAACTCATCAGTCAGCGGCGTGGGGATAGGCGTCGGCAATGGCGTAGGAATAGGCGAATCCGTCATCTGACCTTCGTTGTATCCGTCGCGACCTTGGTATGCGCCAGGAAGGTCGGTGTTGTAGCCACCGCGACCCTGAAGCTCCCCAGGCATGTTTTGATTGTAACCTCCGCGACCCTGAAGTTCTCCTGGCATGTTCTGGTTGTACCCCCCTCTGCCTTGCAACTCACCAGGCATATTCTGGTTGTACCCTCCTCTACCCTGGAGCTCTCCAGGCATATTTTGATTGTAGCCTCCGCGCCCTTGAAAGCCTTGACTATGGGTCGCAGGGGAAGGTTGGGGACTGTGGTGGTATCCACCACGTCCTTGAAGGATTGCAGCCTCAGGGATCGCAGAGCCATTGCTGTCGCGGTTGTAGCCGCCACGACCCTGCAATGCTCCGGGAAGCGATGCATTGTAGCCATCACGGCCTTTGTTGTATCCGCTCCGGCCGCCAAAACCGCCACCTGGACTAGCCGAGCGCTCACGGAGTGGGTCAAGGCTCGATGCACGATGGTGCCTGGAGACTGCTTGGTGAACAGGCTTAGCGTCTTCGTCGCCGGAAGTGCGGTTGTCTTCCTCGACATTTATTCCAAGACCAGACAGGCTTTCGAGCTTCCTCTCGACTTCTGCCATGTCGCCAGATCGATTGAGTTTGCGCGTCTCTTTCGCAGCTTTCTTCAGGTCACGCAGCTCAGCCTTTTGGCGTAATCTCTTACGGCGTTGATGAGCTTGCTTCATCTCGGCCTTCTTGCGCTCAACTCTCTCCTCTTTGTGACGTTTGGCCTTGTCTTCTTCTTGCTCCCTGAAGTGTCCTTTGGCATGCGCGAGATCGTAAGACAGCCCGATCGAGAGCAGTTTCTCGCGCCGTTTGGTACAGGTCATCCGAATGACTTCATCAGGTGTCGGATTGTCAGGAATTCTGGTCGCTTTGATCTTGAGCAGGACGGTGTAATTACCAGGCTCAAGATCCAGCTCGGTAGAGACAGAGCGCGTCATGTAGTACGTGCCGTTGCTGCGAACGATGTACTCTTCTTCGTCGTCTTTGTGGAGCCGGAACTGTAGGTTAAACTCATACTGACCTTCCAGACCTTGGTAGTAGCGATCATCAAGCTGGCTAAGCACGATGACTACGGGGCCGCCCTTCGCGAGATGTATCTTGAATTTGGTGTCGAGGTAGTCGACGCTCCACGGAACGTTGACACTTGTCCACTGCTGAGAAACCGTCCATTCCGGACCGAACAGTCGTGTACGGTCAAAATGCTGGTAGGTACGCAGAAGGTCCTTGTACGAGATCCAGAAGACACCGTCGTCCCCGAATTTGTGGTCGAGCTTCTTCATCCATTCTGGAGTCCATTCTTCTGAACCGTCGCTCCAGCGACCAGTCCACTCGGTGCGGCCCCAGGGGTTCCGAAGCTTCAGCAGGCGCTGACCATCGATCTCGCGTGCTTCCATGACGGAGTATGCATGTTTCTCCTGGATACCTTTGCGAGCGCCGTAGATACCGCCCATCTGGCCACATCCGAAGAGAAACGTCTTATTGACGTTCATGAGCTCTTCGTGCCAGAACTTGTCCTTATCCAAGATGTCGGTTGCAAAGATTTCAGACGTGACACCTCCAGTCAGGTCCTCGATACCTTCGCCTACAAAGCCGCCATTAATGGCACTGTAGTCGCCGTGTGCTTTGGCAAAAGCCTTTTCCAGCAGTGGCAGCCATGTTTCATTGGGATCGCTGCATTGCGCGAAGTACAGGGCCCTGGAACCGGTTTGCATGACAGTCCGGTATTCATCTTCGGGGCTTTTCCGGTTCTGAAGTTCCAACCAGTGGGAGCGCTCAAGTTTTGCTTCGTCAAAGTCCTCCTTGATGAGATACAGCTTGTCGTCGATGACCTCGGATATCCATTCGCCATCTGAGATAAGTCAGCTTGTGAGCTACCCGACTATATAGTCATGTTTTTACCTCTGTGGAAGACAAATCCGTACACGCCGACCTGCTCATCGCGCGCAACGCACACCCGCTGTATCAATTCTTCCTTGTTCGAGATCGTCGCCAGTGCCGACATGAACCAGCAGTCACCGTCATTGCCCTGTCGTACATCGTTCGCGGTGGCGCCTTCGATGAAAAATCGTGGTTCATCGAAGATGTCCTGTGACGAGTTAGGCATGCGACGATAGTGGTGGTGGTAATACATACCTCGACTCTCTTAACCGACAAAGGATGGAAGTCGGCGTTCTCTTCATTGAGCCCAGTCAAGCAGTCGGCGGGAATGTCTGGAATAAGCTGCGACCGTTTGAAGTCGGCCTCTATATCGAAATGTGGATCTCTGTATTTCTGGTTCAGTCGTCGGCATTCTTTGACGATCTTTGCGACCTTTCTGGTGCAGGCTTCCTTGGCCTCCTCGTAGGATGCAAGCGCATTGACCCCAGGTATGGACCCTCTCGGCGCATGTGCGGCGGCACGTTTCGCATACAGATTGTCGGGTAAGATCGTAAAGATCTTACCGGGGTGTTTGGTCGTAAATTTGTTCCAGAACTCGTCGATGTTCCTCTGGGGAGCTTGTTTTCTGACCGGCAAGCGTGGCCGTGGCGCAGAAGCAGGTGTATCTTGAACCATGCTGGGCGCCCTAGAGTGTGGAGTGGTGATGTTGATGAAGTCGTTGTGAGTACCATTCGATGCCATTGTCAATTCTGTGCCGCGGCCCAAATGCTCAGGGGCTGGCTATGCTTCTTGGGGCGTACGGCGTCCATTGGGGGCTCAGTCGTTAATAAATGATTTGGGATGACGATGGAATTTTCAGCCCCCAACGAAGCTTCATACAGCTGCCATGTATGGTGTGGTATTTCGAGAGCCTGTAAGAAAAGAAGTGGGTCGGTCAGACACGAGGCGTTGCTCGGCGCTGCCGCAGGGCCCCCGCTCGCCATGCCGCTGCGAATCAGCTTGCCGCGGAGCTTCCGAACCCATGCTCGCGGCCGTCATCAAGCGGAGAGGCAGATACAACGGCGATCGGCTGTAGCTGCACTGGCCTGCATCTTCAGCTGCAGACAAGGACGGACGACGAGTAAGAGTGTTGGGTTGGGACGCGACGCAGTAGGGAGGCTCTCGTTCTCTGGAAACGGCTCAGACGGCCAATGCGCGCAACTAGATTAGCCTGGGGGCGGCCGGCTAGCCTATTCTAGCTGACTACGGCTGGAAGCCTGACCGACTTCTTGTCTTGTCATATTACCAGTAAAGGGTCATCTGGTGATGGTTTGGAGGTGAGCAACTTGTTCGCCGAATCTGCCTGCATATGGTGGTGGTGCTATGACGCCTCTCACACCTTGGTACCATCACCGTGCGGCATTCGCGATGGTCTGATCAAGCGTTTCTTTGCAGACGGACAGGAGTAGCACCCAGACATGTGAAACGTTCCATCTGCGTGTTCAGCTCATGGGATGATAATTTTGGAGCTGTATACCTACACCTATGGGTCATTCTGCATCCCGGTCCAGTTTACAGGAAGGGCAATGGACACGGGCGCAACACCAGCGAGGTTCGAGAACAGATTGATGCCGTACTAGGATCCACGCGAGGATGGGTTCGGGCTAGAATGATTTCAGTGGGTGTTTGTGTATCTCTGCGCGCCCGAGGTGTGTGCCGACTCTCCATTGATAGGCAACTTTCCCCCGCGAGCATGGGACATGCATCAGGTATCTCGGTTCCGAGCCGCCGGGCATGTCTCATTGCGTCCATGGTGCTGGAAATGACGCTGACTAACGCGCTCAAAGTGCCTGCATAGGTGCTGTAACGTTCAGCAAGGCTCATAATGAGTCGACAGGAGTAGCGGTAATGGCTGCGCGCTCGTCGAGCCGATGTCTCGATAGGGAAAAACGGCAGACGTAGCTCCCGGATGAAACAGTATCACCAACGATTGTCAGGTTTCCATGTCAGCCCTAGCACACAGCCCTACGAGCGATGCTGCGAGCGTCCTGCGATTTTGCAGGGATGCGATCTCACCGTAATTTCGACGCGCACAGCCAATCGCGACGCGAAGCCACACCTGGTGTAAGGACAACAATAAATTCCCTTGCGCCGGACACAAGGGCGACCGTCCAATCGCGAGTACGTTACTTGAGAGAACCAACCTCTTTCAATAAATCTATCGTGACGTCCGGGGATGCACAACTACGTAGGCTGACACTTTTTCCAGTAAAACATAAGGAGATACAAACTGCTGGCCAACTCGGGCCTTGACGCGACACTTGACGCTGTGACAATGCGAGGTCAGCTCGGGGTATGCAACACAGCTGGCGGATTGAGCGGTAAACACATCCCCTGAGTGTTGAGAACGTGTCGACCCCCGAAGGTTTAGCGAAGATTCCGATACCGATTTGGAATGTGAAGTAGTGCCAGGCTGAGTGCAAGGCTGAAGTGGTGAGATGTGGTGCGAGGCTTGGAACGTTTGCCGAACTCGGGATTCTGGCGCTTGCCGAAAGCACGGACGAAGGTTTTAGCTTGATGCCTCATCATTCCCTTTGCTTGAGGCGCGTCCTGCTACCACAACCCTTTTACTCTATCGACATCACGGGAAGACGACATGAACAGCATCACCCAGTATCATGTCGGTCGGCTCAGTTACGAGCCTACACCTCGCAGTAGTCGACCTCTATCTCCGCTGCTTCTCATTCGTCGCCCTCTGAGCGGAGCCGCTATCCCTCCAGATTTCCAACGACTTTTGTCTAATTCCTGTTCAGCTATTCGCGAGCATTTACGGCAGTATCGACAATGTTGCTTAGGAGGCCCCTCGATTGACTATAATTTTTGTAATTTCGGATTTCGATGCAGCATGCAATGTCCACCCAATCCTTCAGACACGAAAAATAAAGCCTCATCGCTGCTTGACTACATCACAGATACCCACCCCGCTTCTCGGTCGCCCAACTATCAATATGTCGCCGTATGTAGTCATCATCATTGAACACGCTGATGCTGTCCAGGTTTGCGTCGCCTACCATAAACTTGTTCCTCTTGCGGCTGTGTTGAGGTAGTCTCGAGCCTTCCCTATCACATAATTTGCTTCCCGCGGGATTTGAGCTCCCAGTAGATGAATCAGATGCTATGGAACTAGTCTCTGATCCGAACCCACCGTCGGAGTTCAGCTCCAATACTGGCCATGGCTCGTACTTCCGGAAGCTATCCAGCCATCGAGAAATCTTTCTGCGGTCGACATTTGCTATCAACTTCTCAGCATTTTCCGCGACCAATCTCTCCAGGTACTTCTTATCTCCACCCAAGTCGAACGCATTTTCCGCATATGGATCGATTCCAGCTGCTCTGGCTGCCGCTCTTCTAGCTTCTAGCTTATCCTCCGCGTCCTGTAACATCGTTGCATATTTACGTATAAGCTGCACGAATTGCGGGCCGTACTCATCCTTCAGCTCTTCCGGGTCGCGATCGGGATTATCTCTACAGTAAAAGTCTAGCAAGGGCCCGTGGGTGCCCCGAGCGTCGTCATGCATCTGCCTAGCCGATTGGACCTTTGCTTCGAGGCCTGCAAGGTGTTGCACCCACTCGTCTTTTATATCAGCTAGTTCTTCCTCATACGTTCGCGGAGCCTTCGCCGGCATCTCGTTGGGCTCTGGTTCGGGTGACACCGCACCACAAGAGCTATCCGTGTTGGTATCTTCACCGTTATACACATCACTATCCCCATAGTATCGGGAGCGAATTCTGTGATGGAATCTGTAGTCGGCTGCGTTCCAGTCTCTCTCATCGTCATCTGATACAACTCCAGCATCTTCCAAGATCAGGCGGTGATAATGATCAAGATCCCACAAGCTGGTCCACCAAATGTGTTCTGCATCCCGCAGCCTGCTCTTAAGTCGCCGTTCGCGCGTCTTGAAGGCCCGATAATTATTCTGTGCGCGCTTGCGATAGTCCTTCACGGCTTTGAGACGAACTTGTTCGTCATAGTGGGGGAGGCGTGCAAGACGTAAATCCTTCTTGACCTGCTTGACCTCCGCAATGGCGCGTATGTACACTTGCCAAGCGGGTCGCGCCTCTTCGTTTATCGCATCTAGTTCCACATCAACTTGCTTTTTCGTTCTACGGTACCGACGGCCCTCGGTAACAGCGTTGCGCATCGCATTAAGCAGTTCACGGGCGACCACGAGAGACAAGACGTTCTTCTGACCATTAAAAGTCCGAGACAAGACGGAATCCCCTTCGGTGAAAATATCAGCATCTGGCGCAGTTTGACAAGCGTGCCATAGGTCGTATCCTGGACCGAGATCCGCGCAATCCTCGCAGGAAGATAAGCCGCAATGAGCGGCGTGATAATCACCTGGATAACAACGCTGGCAACCCGCCAAATGGCAACCGCAATGTTGAGAACCGCCTCTTGATGTAGGGTGGGCCGTTGGCGCATGTGACTTGCCATTCATGCTGGCTGCTGCCCTTGATGGACTCAGCTTCTCAGCGGATGTGTGCGACTTTTGTTTTGTCATGTTTGACCTCTCGCCTGCTGCCGTCGGGCACATAGCATCTTGGGTATTTCTACCCGATTCGCTAAGGAGATTCGCTTCTTTCAAGGTTTGGCGAAGTACAGAGTTCTCTTCGTTGTACAACCTCCACAGTCCACTCCTGGAAGAGATGGTATCAAGTTCCGATCGACGATTCGGGCGATGCGCGGCTGGAGACAATCCATTTTGAGATCGTTTCCCATGGTTTCCAGGACATGGAGTACGCTGCTGTTCAGATCTGGAACCTCGCAAGAAGTATGAGATACCTTTTCGTTTGGATGGCCGATACATACCGGGCATATGACCTATTGAGCTACAGTCTGCTGGATGGTGTCTACACGTTAAGTGCTTGTCAAAGAGCAACGAGGAAAGCGAGAGAATCACAAGCTGAACAAAGGACTTGTCAAAGCTCCAAGTGTGTGTGATGAACAAAGCCGATAGTCCCAAACCTTGATCCCAAAGCCATGACCACCCTTGTTCGCCACAATGGGCACTTTCTAGCGACAACAGGAGTGGTGAGAACGCGCCTAGCGTTCCGTTACACCCATACTGTTGAACAGTCTCTATTGGAATCTGTGCTTCCACGTTTGAAGGTATCTGCGCAAAGCGCGATGCGAGTTATCGCACACCCTTAGTGATAATCGGTCAGATTCTCTTCTCCATTCTTTGGTAGTGGAACAGCTCCTAGAAGAAGATAATCATTCACTTATCGTGAAAAGGCGGTCGCCCTAAGCCCAAAACTGCATCTTTACACGGAGCTTCCTCAAAATGAAGGGCCGCAGCTACAACCAGAGCTGTACTTACTCAAGCGCTCCTACCCTTGTCTCTCTACCGAGGCTTCTCACTCGACACACCAGATTCGAGACCTCAACCTTAATCGACTCTGCCAACAAATTCGAAATTCACAGATCACGAGGGAGTCAGGCGGCTGACGACCCTCCATAATCATGACAAGCGGACGTGGCCGGAAAGGTAAGAAGGTGTCTATCCATTCTCAAAACCATAGTTTAACGAGCCTCAGGACAAGGCAGAGGCGGCAAATCAGGGGGCGGCGCGGACGAAAACCGCCAACCACGGTCAGATTTCAACCATGATGGACGAAACAAACGAATGAAGTACGATAGCTGGGTTCCCGCCAATGATAAGAACGATCAGCCTAGAGGACGACCAAGGCCTCCGATGCTACTCGAGAGTAATGTTGGACGAGAAAACGACCCAGACCGCCCGAGATCAGCACACGGGGACTCCCAGACTGTCACCTCCATCGAACGCCACCGAGGACAAGATTATCGTAGTGATTATCGTCGCGGTGATTGAGAGCGCGAACGCCCAGCATCATCGGTCGAGCGTGATACCATTCGTTCATACAACTCGGAATATGGTGTAATGACACAAGAGAGGCTTGCATCTACTGACAAAACTCATCGAATCGTACATGCGGCTTCTGAGAACACCCAAGTCAAGCCCAACGTTTCAAGTAATGGCGTGGACAGCTTCAGCGAACACACTATCCTCCGCCGACATCGTAATAACACTAGAGACAGTCGATCACTCTCAAACACTGCTTCCCATCAGGATCTATCCGGCATAAGTAAAGCGATTAGCGACAGCAAGCTAGATCTTTACGAAACGCCTGACAAAAAGCATTCGAAGCGGGTAATCGGATACCAAGCAATCTACGAGGGAGAAGATCAAAAGATTACCCTTGCCCAGCCGGACGATATAGAGATTGGTAATGTTGTTGAGATTCAAGAGACGGCACTTACCAGCGATCGAAACGCACACCTGGGCAATGGAAAGACCATAGCTTCATCAGCAGGCCTTCAAAGTTCGAAGAAGATGAGAATCGTTGTCACCGGCGGGACTGGAGAGCTACGAAATGGCTTCCGCATCACTAGCTGCAACGACAACTTCGTGGAGAAAGTCAAGAACATGGGCCCTTCAGCATTGATAAGGTTTTTCCTGATAGAAGTGTACGGACGACAAACACCCCCTAACCCACTCGGTCTCCCGACATTGCGCATCGAGTCTAGGGCACAGTGGCTTGAGGTCTCCGCCGCGGACACTGAGAACATCGTCAGTTTTCGTCCATATATAGGTATGCGGAATTTGGGCAATGCAGAGATCAGTGACGTAGTCACGGCCGTACTTGTGAAGAGCCAGCGAGATATTATGGGAGTAACAACATTGGCCCAAGCTTTCCAAGGCACACATCCTTACGGGCCGTTCCCCCGCCGCAACACACTGCCGACCCCAACAGTCGACCACGCAACGCCATCTACGGTATCGCAGACACAGACACAGTCTCGAACGATTACCTCCGCGTCCAACCCACCCACTGCGCCGCGAGCTCCGGTTAGGCGATCTGGTCGACTGGCAGGTCGAGGTCCAGATAATGCAGGTGGTCACAACGCAGGTCACCAGCAAGGTGCGATGGACCCCACATTACGGCCCGCTCCGCAGGTCAGAACACATGAACTCCCGCCTCGTCTATCAAACATACCGTACCAAGAACCTACCCAGAGCGCAGGTGATAAGCGCAAAAGGGACGACTCGGTAAACGATGTTCAGGAGCGCGCTCCCGACCCATCCTCATGTCCCTCTAATAGTCCGCAGTAGACTCTCTGGGCTACCATCGACATTTGTTTCTTCACGTACATCCGCGGCTTCCTCATGTACAGCTTTGGTGTTTTGACAAAGGTATCAAGGTCTCTCCACACGGCCTCGCCTTTGTTACAACACTAGCTCTTCTTGTTCCCATCACATGTCTTTGCAGACATCGCTCATCCATGTAACTGCATGCTTCATTAGTCGTAGCCGAAAGTCCCAGATCGACGTTATCTCTGTGCATATTCTCCTTTGCGTATTCTCTGCGTCTCTTAGTCGCTTTTCCACGATACTACAGCATAATAACCCCGCCTGGTTGGAAGCATACTGGTCATTGTGTAGTCTTCCTGATCGAATTTCATTTTCTCCATCAATCACACCAGTGAGAGCGCTAGGCGCCAGGAGCAATAGAAAAAGTCATTAACTCAGATGAACAGTGCCCAGTTAACGCCTCCCTCGCACTCCCACGCAGAAACCGGCAACTGTCTCCGCCGCGAGTAGCCAGCTTTCCATCGTCTTCCCATCACCATCGCGCTGTAGTCTCCACATCGCCCACTCATACCGCTGCGACACGAATGCTTGTAGATCGTGAAACATTGCAGTGGTGACGGATGCGACCGTGGGGAAGTGCGCATCGACCAGGGTGCATATGGTGTCGAGAGTGATGCGCGAGAAAATGTGTGCGTTGACGAGCAGGTTGACGAAGAGCTTGAATGTAGGTTCGTGGAGTAGGATGGCAATGAGGAGTACGAAGAGGATGATTTTACGGAACGTAAGGGCCATATTTGCGAGTCCAGCGTTGACACAGCTATCGGTAAAATGATGGCTTATCGAGACTGCCCAGGTGCTGGTATCGATGATGCCGCTTGAAGGAGACGCTAGTCCTGATTTGGTTACGCGCCTTGACATATAGGCTGTCGGGAAGGTAGAAGAGTCAACACTTGGAGGCTCTACGAGCTGCAGATCGCTAACAGAGTACGTTTAATAGCACTCACTAGTAAATCAAATGCTCAGCACGGATCTGAAAGCCAGCTGTACCCGTCAAAGTCTCCGTCGATCTAGCGTGAATGCGACGGTCACGTGATAAATTGTAGTTTCACTGCATCGCACACCAATCGTCAATTATAAGACAGATTGGATCGCATACGTTTTTAACGCAAATAAATGACAAGGCAAAGTTCTGAGTGCTTAAATATTCTTTTGTTACAGTTCTTCCATCCACACTTCAACCGTAAAGGCAGCTACCGCTTGGTTTCCCTGTCCATCGTCTGCGCAGTGCAAGACAACTAAGAGCCACTACCACGCGTCAATAATGACTCTTTTTAGAGCTCATGATCAATGGCAACTGATACGTACGGGGTATTCGGGTTCGGCGCGCCTTTGACAAGCTTGAAGCCACCCGGTTGCAGGTATTGGAAGACCTGTTTCGGATCGTACTTCTTGGATATTTTCATCAGCCGTTGCTTGTTCTTCGCTCCGTAGCTGCCGATGGGGTCTTGGTATTCGGATGCGTAGTTCAGATACACATAGTCGTTGTCCAGGTTCCTCCGCTTCGCTTCCGCTTTCACAAGTTTGATGATCTTGGCAATCACACTGTGAAATTTGGGCTCGTCTTCTTTGTTATTCCAGGCAGCGTTGAAGTTGAGCACGAAGTATGGACCGTTCTTTGGGTCGATGCCTAAGGCATTCCCGCCATTCTTCTGCATGGCCTGGGTCGTGCTTTCCGTGATGGGCTGGATGGCCATGATGAGTAGGATCTTGTCGACGTCGGCGACGGTGGCTTCTTGCGTGTAGAACGTATCGACGATGAATTTGAGCAGTTGCATATCCATCTTCAGACTGATGCCCCACCAGGTCTGGAAAGCACCAGGAGCAGGAGCTCCCTGATTGAGGAGATCGGCCATGCCGGACATTGGGCGAAGGTTAGTCGTGTCGTCGATGGCAGTGATGTTATTCCAGCGGGAAAAGACAGGCGCGTTCGCAATAGGCTTGGCATAATGAAGGTTGGCGAAAGCGACCTTGCCGATTCCAGGTGCGCTGGCGAAAGTCTAGACACATCAGCTTTCCGCGCGTAGGGAGTGAAATCAGCGCACTTACAACAATCTGGGCAGCATCTTCATCCTTGACAGAACCAGAGACTGTGAACTGATGAATCGCATCAAGCACCGCGGGGTATGCATCTTCGAGGTACACCCGCTGGCCTCCCCACATCTGACCAAGAGGAAAGGCGTCAAGCTTGAAGTTTGTAACGATTCCGAAGTTGTTGCCGCCTCCTCTCAATGCCCAGTATAGGTCGGAATAAGAGGTCGCGCTGACGTTGATCGCGATACCAGAAGCTGTGACTAGTTCAAAACTCGCCACGTTATCACAAGCCCAACCGCGCTTGCTCGCGAAGTGAGATATGCCGCCTCCGAGTATAAGGCCAGGCACGCCAACGGGGGCCATCTATTCCTATAATCAGTGGCAGAACCATGAAGTTGGCGCAGATGCGTAGACTTACACGTCCTCCTGCGACACTTAGACCGTCTTTCTCGACAGCATTGTAGACGTCTATCCATCGGAGTCCCGCGCCAATGTCAACCGTCTGCTTATCGGAGGCAACAACAGCCTGCTTGAAGTTTTCAAGCGATACTGTGATTCCATCTTCGATACTAGATGCACCGGCCCACGCAGCATGGCCACCGCCTTTTACGGCGAAGGGGCATTGGTATAGTCTAGCCGCGAGCACGAGTGTCGAGACCTCAAGTGTCTTCGTGGGTTTGAACACACAAGAAGGTCGTACTAAACCTTGTTGGGCAGACCAGTATCCTCCGGTGAAGTTACTGTATGTGGTTGCTCCTTCAGCCAAGACCTTGTCGGTGCCGAAGAGTATCGTCAACGCGGTACACTAGGGTCTGTCAGCTTGCGCAACCCTAGGTTCGTGATATTGTGACAAAAACTTACAGCATGTGAGCATTGCGCATCTGAGACACGGGCATTGAGTGCATTCGCAGGTTCTGGCAGAACCGAAACGTCGACGCCGAGGTTTTCGAGAGCCGCAGTGATGTTGAAGTCTTGCGGCTCAAAAGCAGCGTCGCTAGCTTGGGCTCCCACACCGGCTGCAAGAGCTGCAATGGAAACAAGACATGTGACCTTCATCGCTGCTGATGGCTGCAATCAATTGTGCGAGTTAGGTCACTTGGCAGCGCGTTCGTGACAATAACCTGCGCGTTTGGGTCCCAAGGGCGCGTCGAGGTCTGGGGGGCCCGGGGCTCTCTCACTTGGGGGCCTCTTTAACAGCATACCAGTGCGCCGCATCCTTCTGCACCTCGCTTGGCTGTAAGCATCTAATTTGAGGTACGTGTCCGATGATTGGCGCAATGCTAAGCCTCCTGCAAGAAGACGGTTGGATCCTGCGGGATTGTGGCGATGTGGTGAGCGAAGCCTTGCTCTTGCACGGAATGGGCACCTGAGATGGGCTGTCAGCTATTCCTATTCCAGCCTAGTGCAGTCCGGGGGAAGTCGCGTCTCGCAACCCGTCGCCGCTATGAAGTTCACATGAACAAGCAGCCTATAGCACTCTCAAGGCCACAACAACATTGATTCCGAAAAGGAGATGAATCAAAGCCGAACAGCGATGCGCTCTGATAGCAGAAGGATGCTCGGAACGGGGATGGCTGTGCCGGCCGAGCGGCAGAGGCGGGACGACCCTGGAAATGAGAACCTTACTCCCGGTAACATCGCCCCCACCAGACTGTGAACGATACTGCAGGTACCTCCAGGCCCCGCTGGACGACATCCTCAAGTGGCTCGATACGAGACTTCCAAAGCGGTGCGCTATCGAATGTTACCGACGAGGCGACCATGAGCTCTACAGCTTTTGTTAGACTGGTCGCACGATGGCAGTGCGCGTTAGGTCTGCGCGACTGGGTTGTGCAATACCGGTCTTCGTGAGATATGCAGTAATACAGACCCACGTCACAAAAGTACCTTGTACGGCAGATCAGTCTTATCAAGGTAGACGGGCGCTTACGGGAATACTCATCGTGTGGCTCCGCTTCGCAAGCGGTCAGATATCAAATACTTGATCTGATGTATCCACACGTTCCTGCTGGTGCTATTGATGTAAACTTTTCGCTACTTGATCGATCGCTTCACATCTGGGCATCCAAATACCTACCGACATACAGTACTGGAACGCTTCACCGCGTCGGATGTCTGGCAACACACGTCCGATATACCCAGACCCGACACCATGACGTCCCAACAACTTGCAGATGTCACTTGGGACAAGAATGCACCTCCAGCAACGATGAGCAGACGCGAACTGGAAGGCATCAACACCGCTATGCTGAGTCTAACGTCTTTGGTCTTCGTCGCGCGCATTGCCATTCGATTATGCAAGCGGAGAACATTCGAGCTGCAAGACTTCTTTTGCTGTCTATCTTATGTTTTCTATGTCGCAATGCTTGTCATGTTCTTCAAAGAGAACGACCCGCTTTATCGAGCCGAGCGTGTTCAGAGAGGCGAGGCGCCGTTGTATCCAGGACTCCGTGCGTACAATCATCTTTCCATACGCAGACAAAGCGGCATGCTGACTGTCTTAAGTTCGTGATGCAGGAATGGTCTATCGATGGCTGACGGCTGGTCAATTGTTGTACTATTCGTCTCTGACAGCAGTAAAGCTATCACTGTTAGCACTATACCGACTTCTGTTGAACAAAGCCTCGCCAAAGTATAACATCATGTGGTGGACGATTTTGGCCTTTTGTGTTTTGGTAAGTGCGACGCGTGACCATCGTTTAGCGCTCGTTACTAACACTCGGACAGTCTTATGTGGGAAGTGCTATGACAACTATCTTCGTCTGCGACGACCAAAATGCGAAGTACAACTACGGCATGTGCGCGAAACCGAATGAGCAGAAACGCGCGCAGTTTAGCCTATGGTTTGCGTACGCAGTAGATGTAGCTGGTGATCTCGCAGGTTCGTATGCCAGTCCTATCGATTACGGGACCTCACTGACAAGTGCAGTAATGTTCCTTCCGTTTCGCATGACCTGGAACCTTCGGCTACCCAGGGCTCAAAAGCTCGGCATCTTCGTCCTCTTCGGAAGTGGTTGGATATGTATTGTATGTATCACCCGCTACTACCCGCATTCCTCAATGACAAGACTGACATGATGCTTGCTTTCAGGTCTTTGCGACACTTCGTGTCGTTCAAGTCAGCGTCAAAGACGGTCTGCCGAAGATACCAGACCCGAAGTGGTTGCAAATGTGGACTGTCATCGAGACTTCAATGGGTTGGTACTATCTCTGGGACGGACTTTCTAGCTCTGCTGACTTCAAGCCTCAGCGGTCATCATTGGATGTGCTCCAGCATTCAACGCTCTTCGCCGTCGTTCTGAGCACCACAACGTTGAGATATCATCAGTTCGTCTCGATATGGAAACCGCATGTGGCGGTCAGACAGCGTGGACGAAGCCTTACAAGCAGGTCCTGCGAACGAATCAGCAAGGGAGTGAAGAAGCACTGCATCAACGCAGTACGCCTGGACTGGCATACTAATCTGGAGTCTGCGCCTTAGTCACCAATGTCAGTTTTTCATCTCATAAACTATTTCCATCACCGTTTGTTTTGCGGCGGCTTATCCGGTGACCATCGTCCTACGAGTCCAAACTTCCACACGAAATCTCGCATTTGAGTGTGGAATAGTTGGATCTCGCAATGTTGTTCAGTGAAGGGGAACGCGATAACGCGGCAGCTGCTTGGGTGACGTCAGTCGAAAGCGCGCAGTCACCACAACCTTTTTCTCATGACCTGTGATCTCTCAGTCAGATATCATTATTGTAAATGTCTTTGGTCCATTCGTCTTGCCTTCTCGTTCACATTCACCTTTCCCGAATCGAGACGACAATAATCAGTGTTTGTGGTCGCGCGGCGTCATCGACGAGTGTAAACAACAACGCGTACACTGCCCGTCCTCACACTCTTTTCACCTCCGCACCTTTTTTTTTTGAAAACTCTTTCAGTCACCACTCGCCATCGGGCAATCGTGTAAGCTTGGCTCTACGTTGCGTCTTGTCTCTCATTCAGACTTCCCTGGCTCTTGTCCACAACCATCCAAACAACACAACACAACACCGCTCCGACCATATCAACGCAACCCACAAGAGGTAAACCACTGAGAAGTCTACATAGCGCCGGCCGTTCATTAACTCACGTTTCGGTGCGAAAGTAGATTGCAGATTATTCGATTTTCCCATTGGATTTGGTGCTTTCGGCTGTCAGCTCCCACAGCAAGCAAGATGCCTACCTTGCGCAAAAGGATCAGAAGCGCTTCCGAAACTCACATCTCGATCCATACCCCAGTCCAGACAATGAAGCTCGAGCCCCAGCCACAGCCTTCCGTCATGTCCGTCGCCACACAGAAGCGCAAACGCTGCGCGGACGAGCAGGCCGACCCAGCCCTCACAGCACCATCCAAAAAGCTCAAAACATCAACAACATGCGCCCCGGCCATCACCGGAAAGCCTACAAGTAGCAGTCGCAACACACCCAGTTCAAAGTCCACGCTCATCCCCTGCGGCCCCCGCAAAAAAGCCACCCTCGGCGTCAAAGACTCATCCCTCCTCCTCATGCTCTGCGACAGCAGCACCACCCCGCACAAAACAACCGAACTCCACTTCCGCAAGATCCCGCACTCCCTCATCGACTGGCACAACCCCCAGCACATCTCCCAGATAAACGCCTGGCGCAACCAAATCTACGGGCGCGCTGGCCTAAAAGCCCGTTCCGTGAGCCTCTGGTACGAAGCCGAGGAACTCTGGTTCGAGCTCTACTTCCAGCTTTCCATTGTCGAGGCGCGAAAGCGCGGGATCATGCTTCCGGGGAACAGGCAGGTGCGCGACGCGTTTAATAAGACGTTTGTGGGGAGGGTCATTAAGGGGAGGGGTGGAGAGGATTTGGAGCCGAGGGTGGAGAGGGAGGGGAATGCGTTTGCGTCGAAGTTCAATCGTATGTTTCCGGCGTTGAGGGCGAGGTTGAATGGGTGTGTTTTGGGGAGGTCGGGGGATGTGTTTGTGCCGGTTATTACGTTTGGGATGGTGGAGAGGTATAGGGTGATGAAGGGGAAGTTGGCGGAGAGGGGGATTGAGGCTGAGTCTGAGTATGCGGATGGGCTGGAGGAGTGGCAGTGGTTTCTGTCGCATCTGCCAGATGTTGAGATGGAGGCTGTGGTCAAGGAGGAAGAGGAGGCCAGAGAGATGGAAGCGAAAGAGTATGATGCTGTTGCTGCTTTGGTCAGCCTTGCCAACTCGCCGGTTGACTCTAGGTGTGACTAGAGTGCGCGTTGCATACACTGTTGAAACTGAACATCTTGACCGTTGCTAAGGTTATGTATACTTCTGGCTCAACATCCTTTCATAGAAAGGAAGACGTTCTCACAGTATGAATGAACAGAACAAGGAACAAAGCGAGTTGGAGAGACTAGGCCTTTACTAGTGCCTAGATTTCGCCAGATTTTCGCCAACCCACACATGTCCAGGTTGCCTATCCATTGCACGGCAGTGACTCCAGATATAGCACCTCTAGTCATCAACAAGTTCCACGATATCGCCGAACTCTTGGAACAGCCACGGCTCCAGATCCTTGAAAGCTTCGGGTACCGGCTTCTCCTCGACCAGTGAGACCACGGCCGGCTCATCGCCGAACATGTTCAATATGCCTGCTACTTCTTCTTCGACACATGCGTCTTGTTGGTCGCCGACTATGTGCAGCTCGCGTGGCGTAGCCGTCCGTTGTTGCATGTCTGGCGACGTAGATTCCTTTGCGGGTATGGCATTTGCAATCTCGGCTTCGGCACTGTCTTCGCTGTCAAAGAAAGGCGATCGAGAGGTCTTGATTTGTGTTTTGCGAGGATGATCGGGATGACTGAACTCCGGCTTTCGCGGAACGTGATCTTCGGAATTGATCAAACTAGAGTCCATCTGCTCGTCACCTTCTCCGTAACCCATATTGTCATCGTCGATAACGGTTTCGAAGGGCTGCGTGGTATTAGTGTCGCTTTCACGAATCTCCTGAAGATTCTGAGAATCTGCAAGCCCAATGAAAGCCTCTCGAAGGACGGAGTCGTCATCGTCAAAGGCGTCAGATTCGTGAGAGGCTACATGAGCTGCATGCTCATAGTCCATGTAATCTTCCGGCTCTTGTGGGCCACTGAGTGAGTTTTGCTGCGCAGACTGATGCTGAGGATGATCGAAGTTGATTGATGGCTCGTCAAATCGAAAATCACCGTAATCGCTTGATGTTGGATGCCGCTCGGGAGCGGAGCCGCCCATAAAGTCAAGACTATGCTCACCACCTTGAGAATAGCAATATGCTGGCTTCTTGTACATGACGGAATGAAGGGAAGAAGGTAGCTCTTTGCCCTGGATCGTCTTATGCAGCTGATGGAGGCCGCGATAGTCTCTGGGTCCGTTGGTGCCATAGTCGGCTTTCTGCTTCTTTTCTTGCTGCGTGAGATCGAGCTCGTCAATCGGCGCAGAGACCTTCCTCTTGGATGCTGTAAGCTGAAGCTTAGTTTGCTTCTCTTTGCCTTTCGGCGGCGGTGGTTGCTGCGTCGGCTCAGGTCGATCTTCGATCGATGGTACGCGTTTGGCGACAGCTTTCTTCTTCGATGGTTTGTCCATACCAGTCTTGCAACACTGGTGCTTGCATGCACTCCGATCTTTGCACGGGTGATTGCAGGCCCACTTTCCATTAGCTAACTGTACTGGCTCTGGATCGTCTTGTTCAGCAGCAGCAATCGGCCGTTTGCTCTTTCCGTCATCCTTGTTCTTGGTCACTTTGTTCTTCGCAGTATTCTTCCGCGTAATAGAATCGATAGGGTCGGCGTAATTCTCGATGTGATCAAAGTCGAGATCACGAAAGGAAGCATTGACAAGAGCATCGTCATCCACATCACCATCTCCATAGTCATCGCTGGTGGCGGACACCTTTCTGCTTGGCCTTGTAGTCTCCGTGCGGCGCTTTGACATATTAGACTGATGTGATGCTGGCCGCTCTGACTCCAAGCGTTTTGGGGCTGGGAACAAAGAAGCGGCGACCTGGGGCTTCACGGCGGCGGCACGCATACTGCCAGCTTGTAACAATCAGTCTTGGCTCTCACAATCGAGCCGGAATACATACCTATGCCATCACACATGACGTAGCAGTTGATTGACTGGTCGGGGTTTGTCAAGAGCGCTGGGAATGTGAGGCTTTGACCAGACCCAAGCTTTGGGCCACTGCGACAAAGATTAGTACAGCGCAATACCGAGATCGTAATGGCCTACCTGATGCGAGCAAAATGCACCTTGCGGCCATCGGAAGTGTCAACCAAAAGGCACACGTATATGAGTTTGTTGTTGAAGCGCTGGGGCGGCTGCTCGTTGATGAAGCCAATGTCTGCCTTGATCTGGATTTTGACCCCATCGTGGGTTTTGATTGCCTGAATATCATTAGAATATGCATTTCAAAGAAAGATCGCAGACTGACTGTCGAAGGCTGGGCTTGTAGTGAGACGCGAAGCTTTGGAAACGATCGGACTTTCTCGAGCACGTCGAGGCCAAAAGGTGGATTTCGACCGACGAGTGCTTCGATCCTATAAGGCTCGCAACCTTCAAGATCTTCCATGGACTTCAGTCCAGCATTGACGAGCTTTCTGACAGCGACATTGCCGATACTGCCAATTTGCTTCATTTGGAGCGGGCTATCGTCCCAGATTCTGGCGCCTAAGCTTCTCTCAAGCATGAGAGCACTGTGGATACTGATGGAGTCACCTAAGGCGATCTGGCAGTCGATGATGCATCGAATTAGACTGCCAATATTCTTGAAGATGATCTGTGTCTCTGTCGTATATTGAGAACGATGCTTGCCGGCCTCGCCTTCCCAGGAGATGTCGGCAGACCCAAGAACGGATTGTACGATGAGAGATACCTTCTGCGATGGTAGATCAAGGTTGACAGGGATAGCCCAGCGGATCGAAGCGGACTTGTTGAGCAGCTTGTAGAACGCCTTTTCGCCTTGACGAAAGCGTATTGTAGAGTACTCGACAGCTTGAGCGATGGCGGAAAGCTGTGTATGAATGTCAGCAAGGTCCTCCGAGTAGCGCCAAGGTTGTGTGACTTACAATCTCCGAGGGAGTGGACCGCAGCCCGAGTTCCATGAAGACTTTCATGGTCTCGAAATGTACGTAGTATCGTGCCATAGCATGGCCAAACTCGGTGCATCGGAAGTACTCTTGCCCTGACACAAGATTGGTCTCGCGCAAGAGTGTGATGTCGCGGAAGCATATGTCGTCGACTTGCTCCTCGATGCTTTGACCACTTCGAGCGCCGTCCAATTTGTAGTAACTGGGATTCTGCTGGAGTCGGACGTAAAGGAATGTACCTCTTAGCCATTTCCGAGCTGACTCTAGATCGCTAATAGTTCCAAGTCCAATCTCGGCGTTCATGTGATCTACCAGATTGAGATGGAGTTTGCTCTCTATGAGATCCTGGCCTGTGACCAACATTTCGTACCGTCGGACTTTCGCCTGCCTGGTCATAATCACTGCTACAGCTGAGTCATCGTACTGAGGTCGTCCCGCGCGACCCAGCATCTGCATCATCTCCAGGTCCGAGTACTCCTGCATTCCTTCCGCACCCCACGCCATGGTATTCTTGATGATGACGAGATGGCAGGGTAGGTTGACTCCGACCGCGAGCGTAGATGTGCAGCAGATGACACTGATCTCGCCAGCGATGAAACCTTTTTCGATCTTGGTTCGATCATCGAGATCAAGTCCGGCGTGATGAAAGGCGACACCGGAAGACACGGTATCTCGAAGCTCCTTGTTCAGCAGCAGGGGTGGCTTAGACGGAGGCTTCCACATGCGATCTCGGTCTGATGCCGAGACCCACCAGTTTGCTATCAGCTTCGCCGTACTGACTGTGGAGTTTCGGGTTGCACAAAAGACCATGAGAGGCTTACGCTGGGAGTGAGAAGCAATGACCTCAGGAATCTTGGCATCGAGCACTTTTTCAAAGCCGAACTCATTGCTAGAGTTGTACGCAAAGCCTCGAACGTGCTTGCGTAGTTTGACTGGGCGAAACTCTTCACCAAACTTCTCATTGGCGGCTGGGATGTCTGGTTCCGACGAGTTCTTTCCCAACCATGCCGCAATGTCATGGAAGTTGGGCACTGTCGCTGATAAAGCCACAAAGCGCACATCCGTGCCGATAGATTTCATCCGCGACACGACCGTCTCAAGCGTGGCACCACGGTCTTCCTTGAGTATATGCACCTCATCGATAAGAAAGACGCGGATGAGTCTCATCAGTTTCTCGTGGTCTTTCCACTTCCTGGTCATGCTGTCCCACTTCTCGGGTGTTGTTATGATGATGTTGGCGCTCTGTACGTTGCGTAGATCCCCAAGGTCGCTGTCACCGGTCAGCTCGGCGCATTTGAGACCCAGCTTTTTGAACTTGGCTTCCCAGTCACGTTGGCGTTCTGCGCACAAAGCCTTTGTTGGTGCTTGATAGACCACCTTGTACTGACCTGTCGCGCTGGTGGCAACAGCTCGACAAACAGCAAGCTCGAGAATGACGGTCTTCCCACTTCCAGTAGGGGATGCAAGCACGAAGTTGTCATCTGTTCTGAAAACTCTGTCGAAACACTTGGACTGTACGGCGTTGAAGGTCGGATAAGGAAACACCATTCGAAGACGATCTGGTAGGGTAGTGACAGGGACCAGGCGGATACCTTGGCACATGGGAGCAGCGCTAGACACATCTTCTGGGTACGTCTGCGGCTCTGGGGGAGCTTGTCGATGATGCGGAGGATTGAGGTCGCCTCTGTGTTGTGCGGCGGAACCGCGTTGTTGGCTAGCATGTGGTCGAAAACTGGGCGGTGCAGCCTTTCCATGGGAGCGCTCATGTTGTTGTCGGTACTCTTCAGCAACAACATGGCCGTCGCCTTCGAACGGTGGGGCCTGTGAGCCGTGTTGAGGTCCGAAATCAGTGACTTGCTCGGCACGCCGCTGACTTGCCCTAAGTGCTGGACTAGAAGACGGGCCGAGCGGCATGTCGGAACTAGACTCTTGAAGCGGAGCGGCATTATAGGCAAAGCGGCCTGGACGGTGATCAGCATGGCCACAACCACCAACAGTAGAGGTGCTTTCGACTCACTCATTTGACCTCGCATAGCCTGTTCAGGACGCGGGTAGTACTCTGCTTCTTAGTCAGTAGATGCCTCTCTGTAGTGTGGGCTGAAGTACCTTCTTCGTTGTACATGTCTTGATCACGAACCTGGTAAGACGGCTGCGATTGGGTAGGCGCCGCATGACTGTAGAACGTGGAAGGGCCTGGTGCAATTGACAACCTCTTTGTGCCTTGTGCAGCTTGCCGCTGGAAGTTAGGATACGGCTGCCGAAGCACTCTGTCATCTGCACAGTGTGAGCTATGCAGTACTGGAAGCGAGGGGACCACATACCGAATGAATCGAGTTGCTGACCTCGGTCGTACATGCCATCGTCCTCAACCACGTCATACTGGGGGTCATCATATTGAGTGGCGCGATAGCGATCCCGAGGTGCGACTAGTCTTCCCGGCTGCTTGAACTGAGGCCGAAGCATGTCGTACTGCGACGTGCGGCGGGGAGCGCCGAACTGCTCGTAGCCATCATGCTGATAGCGGTCGTCGTCCATGACTGCTACATGTGGCTTGATCAGAGGCTCTTTGGCAGTAAAGGCGTGGCGGGAAAAGTTCAGAATCTAAAGTGGGGCGGTAAGTGAGAGTTGAGATGAGAGGGAAGTGACGATGGAGGAAGTCGCGGCCTGGCGTGCCACATCCGGATTTGGCGGAGTCACTCGACGGCAAACTTCGATCAAGGAAGGTAGTGAGCGCGTAGATCTCTGTCAGTTATGCGTGCACCTCGTCCGCATTGTGATCACATGGTCCCTATATTACTATCGCTCAAGCATCTCGCTTGTGAGAATGCCGTTCTATAGAGGGCGATTCCGGTGCTGCTTTTGGAGCAGCTTCATACACTGATGACCTCCGCGGCTTGTTGGTATCGATTGTGCGATCCACCGTAGTCTTCTCGAAGTCGGCAATCCTGACTGGCAGCGATTGCGAGCCACGCTCAGGCTTTGTGTAAAGATAGGTCGCGAACAGCACGACGCATGTACCTAGGAAGAACTGCCGATGGTCAGCATCATGAGCCTCACTATGGCACTAGAGACTTACTGATCGCGTCACCCTGAAGTCAAAAAAGTAAACGCTTGCAATGCAACTGACCAAGATAGAAATCGATGTGGCGAAGTTCTTGGCGATATTATCGGCATAGTTGATGACGAGCGCAACCACAATGCCACCAGCTGCTTGAAGACCGATGGCTGTCCACACCACCCAGTTGTAGCCGACGAAGAATCCGGTCTTCGCTATGATCTCCCCATCCTTCCATATCACGCCCAGGAACAACGATGGAAAGAGCGACCAGAAACAGAGCTGGCAGTTGCGGACCCAGAGCGGCGTCTGCTTGGCGCTCGTTGAGTCCTTCAAGATCTTCTCAAACGTAACCCCAGCCAAGCCTGAAAGCGCGCAGGAGATCAAGACAGCCATAAGCCCAACCCGGTAATTCATGTGGGGTATCTGGGCTGCGCGGTCCGCGTGTATGCCCTCGTATGACCCAGACCGTTTCCCTAGCCGCCCTGCGACATTCTCACCAAGGTCGTGCAGCTGCTCCAGCGTCTTGGTCCATGGCTTTGCACCAGATGCTTGTGGTGGTGACGGCGCAGTCGCTTGCGGTACTTGTATGATGGATACACCGATGATGAGAAGCAACAGTGACAGCCACTTGCGCGCCGAGAGCGTTCTACCCAGCATCAACACGCTGAAGATAGCCGTCGTCAAGATCTTGAGCTGGTATGTGACCTGAAACGTCGCGGCGTCCAAGTTACTGACAGCAATGTATTGGAGAGAGTTCTGTATCGTGTATAGCACGGCGGGTATCGCAAGCTTCCAGCTTTCGTTCGTAAAGATCGCGGTCGTCAAGGTACGGAACAGTGTGGGGATAGTCGTATTCGAAGGAAGATTGCCCGACATCTCGTGTAATGCCTAGGACGGTCGTGAGCCTAAAAGCAGTTCATCCCTCTCAACCCGAGCGCCGTACCATAGTCAAGCTTATAGCAAGCTTGATGACCTCATTCAAGAAGACGCTTGTGCTTGCGTGGTATCGTTGCTCTCCAGTCAGAGGCATTATCCTGGAGTAATGCATAACCTGGGGTCGCGTCAGCCACTGTCATTCCTCGCTTGCTTCTCCACAGTATCCGCATGTTATGTATGCTCTTCGATCGCGTTGGGGTAGTGCTTCGCGGTGGATGGCAATCGTACCAGGATGAGGGCAGAGTTTTGGAATATAAGCTGTGCAGGGATTAGCTTCTGCGTATACAACGAGGGCGACGAAGATTGGCTTACTGTCACGAGAGAAACATGCTTCATGGGCACCCCGCCCAGAGTTCCTGAAGCCGACCTGACAACCATGGTGGGCTTCGCTCTCGTAGATGTGCTGGGATGATTGGGGGTTCGCTAGATGCGCATGGCGAAGATTATATCCCGGTAGCGATAGGGTGTACGTAGAATTACAGTGAATGTAAGGTCAAACCGGTGCAGGGCAAACGAGACATGTAGACTGGGTCCATCTTGAGTGCTGTCAGCTGAAGATGGGGCGCGGCTTCCGCTGCTCGAGCATCCGGCGCGATGAGCAGGGATACTTAGCGCCGACGATCGAGCTTGGCATTCAGGCCAATTTCCGATGACGCGCATCTCGACGCGTCACGGACATCCTCATCTTCACAACCACCACAACGCTTGACTACTTGCCATATACGTGAGCGATATGCCGTTTCAACACTCTGCAAACTGGGCCAAGAAGTGTGGCTGTTTCAGTAGTGACGCAAGCGTCTCCAGGTCTGCTGAGTATTGACCGAGGTGTAGGATCTGCTCAGGCATCGGCATCGGTTTTGCTTCAAAAAAACGTGGGATACTTCGCGATCTGATGTGGAAGGTTGTACCTCGCCATTCGAGGCTAGAACTGCCGTACTGCGGCGTGGTATTTCGGGCTAACGCTGCGTCTGGGATGGCCGGTGCTCTATCGAACCGGGCCTGGCAAGGCTTTCGTCTATGCCTTGTTCAAGATCGCCATCTCGTCCTCTTGCATACAGTCTGGTGGATGACTACAAATATCGCATAGTTATCTCGGGCAGGCGTAGATATACGGCTGCACCCGTCATTGGACTCATGGATTTCCGGTGAGGCGTTCGCGCAGGCATAGAGCCAATCGAACACAACCCCAACGTTCCGTGCATGAGCTCTCTTTACCATTCGCTCACAGCATATAGTGCAGCTGACATGGAACGCAGCGTTTGCTGATGCCTACCGCTGCAGCGATTGGCACACCCCCGTTGGACTTAAGTTGGGGCGCGAAGCATCACCGTGATTCCGTCCGATTTCACTTACGATCAACCCCTCCAAGATAACGACAAACCCTAAGGCCTTCAGCATCTGGTCCGGTCCGTCCTTCACCACTCCCGCCGCCTCCGCTACAAGAATACACTCGAGTCCATTAGCCACCCCGGCCCAACAATCTCACATCCCCCATCTCGAATACGTTCATCCGAAGTCTTACTTCTTTCGCTTTCAATTTACCATGCTTCCATACCGATATCCGGATCTCCCACCCCCTGCAGCAGGCAAACACACAAGGCTTCTGAGACTCAATCCTGGCGACTTTTCAGATGACCTTCACGTGGAGCTGGAGCAAGTGCTTTTGGATGGCACTTCCACCTACGAAGCGCTATCCTACGTCTGGGGTTCGCCAGCCCATTCTGTCCCCATACTTGTCGGTCCTACCCGAGAACACACCATTTCGGTGACGCAGAACTTAGCGATCGCGCTACGCCATCTCAGAGCAGTGAACGAATCCCGAACATTATGGGTAGATGCAATTTGCATTGATCAGAGTGATTTGGAAGAACGAAGCTATCAAGTCACTTTGATGAGCGACATCTACCGAAAAGCATCTCAAGTGATAGTCTGGCTTGGACCCGAAGATGACAATTCTTTTCATGCCTTCAACCTGACGAATGCTATTGGTTCAAGGGTCGATGTGAATTGGACAAATTACTCGTTCACGTCCAAGGTGGCAGCCGACAATCCATTTTCCCGTATACTAGTTGATCTCCTAAACTACCAGTTTCGAGATGACGAAGCATATGCCATCAACGATCTCCTCCACCGACAGTGGTTTAAACGTCTCTGGATTCGGCAAGAGATTTGGCTGGCGACCCGAGCAATCATTCGTTGTGGTAAACTCGTCCTGCCTTGGCATGTGTTTAGCAACGCTATTCTGTTCCTCTCTGTGCAAGGCAGAGAGATGATAACGATACGACTCGGAAAACAGGTCCCTGATTTCTTCTCCCGCATCGCTCTGGCGACCAGTATTTGCGAGTCCCGTCCATATTATTTCCAACATTTGCGAATCAAGCTTGCCAACGTTGCATGCGCAGACCCCCGGGACAAAATATATGGCATACTGAGTCTGCTCCATCCAAGTCAAAAGCCCATGGGCATTCTCCCAGATTATACTCGCAATGTAGAGCTTGTCTACCAAGACGCTGCTCTAAAGTTCATAAGTCACACGATGGATCTGTCCATACTTCTCCAGTGTGAGATGCAGGATACTGCTCCCCACATGCCAACATGGGTTCCAGATTGGTCTATTGATCTAAAACCGAAACCAATATCCCGGAGTCCATGCAGTGCAAGCGCTGGGTTCGAGTCGATCGTATTCTGCAAAGAAGAAGGAACATTGAGTGTCGCTGGTGTGGCTGTTGCGACAATAGAAAATGTACAACCTATGCATTTCGGTGAAACCGGGGAAACGTTTCTAATCATGCTAAGGACTCTTTGGATTATGGTCATGTCCAACCCGACTAATGCGATTGACCTAGAGATATCTCAGCTGTCTGCAGTGTGTAGTACGCTTTGTGCCGATGAATTCCGCCATACCAGCATCCCGGAACGCGAACAACTCCCAGACTTCAAGTCAGTCATACAGACTTTCAAGACTATACTGGCAACCGGGTCCCTCCTGTTCGGCGATGTGGACTCCCAAAAGGATTGGTTCAGTTACGGAGCCATACTCAGCGCGACGTGTGACAACCGGTCTTTCTTCGTCACAAAGGGAGGTTCTGTTGGCATCGCACCACTATCCGCCAGACCGGGCGATATGGTCTGTGTACTTCTGGGTTGCTATTCTACCGTTCTACTTCGTCAAACTAGGGACGATACCTATCAACTTGTTGGTCAGTCATACATGTCCGGGGTCAATGCTGGAGAGGCACTATTGGGACCTCTACCAGAACATTTACGGCCAATCAATTACCGTGACGACCAAGGAATTATGCATCAATTCGCCTTATGGAATGAGCATACAGGAGAAGTACAGTTCAAAGACCCTAGACTGGATAAACTACTCCTTATCCCCGGCTTTCAAGCTCATGACCATGGAAAGAAGCACTTTCCAACAATCGAGACAAGTGTTGAAGCACTCAGAAAAGCCGGTATCGCGGCTCAGTATTTCGATCTCGTCTAGACGATGACGGTTCTCCTCACCTGTACTTAGGACACGCCACTAGAACTGCGG